ACAGCAGGCAATAAAAACATCTCTATCTCTCTCCCTCTCTGAATTAAGATATTTCATTTAACGCAACATCATCTAAAAATATCTAAGCAGCTCAACAGGACATGGGATTAGACACATAACTGTTTAACAATCATCATAATCGAAGGGATCAAAGCATCATAGTTACGATCATCTCCATAATTAAAATGAATTCCTTAATCTCCATAAATCTGTGCAAAAGAAAAGAAAGGTCACTCACATAAATAAACGAAGGATTTCAGAATGTAGAACAAAACACCTGTCTGATAAGCAAGACCACATTCCTGTGTGTCCAGGAAGGACTTTTGCTTTCCAGTTCCTTAATCCAGGCTGCACGCTCATATGACCCCGTCCATGACCCGACCTCTAAACTGGCCCTGTCAAATAACAACACAGCAACGACCTCTGTCATGAATCAATCAATAGTCTTCATGAACTCCCTCATCAATGGAGCTATTCAGTCAACACAGTGATTGGAATACATGGAATAAATCAATTCAATTAGACTTGTTTTTGCTGTTAAAAGAACAATGCTTCCATTGGTCGATATGACAACACATGACAGTTATGATGCCAATAATGAGTCATGATGAGGACAGATAGACAGAGCAAATTAGATGGTCACTCAGCCAGTGTCTTGTTCCTACAGTGAGGGAAAAAAGTATTTGATCCCCTGCTGATTTTGTACGTTTGCCCACTGACAAAGAAATGATCAGTCTATAATTTCAATGGTAGGTTTATTTGAACAGTGAGAGACAGAATAACAACAAAATTATCCAGAAAAGCGCATGTCAAAAATGTTATAAATTGATTTGCATTTTAATGAGGGAAATAAGTATTTGACCCCCTCTCAATCAGAAAGATTTCTGGCTCCCAGGTGTCTTTTATACAGGTAATGAGCTGAGATTAGGAGCACACTCTTAAAGGGAGTTCTCCTAATCTCAGTTTGTTACCTGTATAAAAGACACCTGTCCACAGAAGCAATCAATCAATCAGATTCCAAATTCTCCACCATGGCCAAGACCAAAGAGCTCTCCAAGGATGTCAGGGACAAGATTGTAGACCTACACAAGGCTGGAATGGGCTACAAGACCATCACCAAGCAGCTTGGTGAGAAGGTGACAACAGTTGGTGCGATTATTCGCAAATGGAAGAAACACAAAATAACTGTCAATCTCCCTCGGCCTGGGGCTCCATGCAAGATCTCACCTCGCAGAGTTGCAATGATCATGAGAACGGTGAGGAATCAACCCAGAACTACACGGGAGGATCTTGTCAATGATCTCAAGGCAGCTGGGACCATAGTCACCAAGAAAACAATCGGTAACACTCTACGCCGTGAAGGACTGAAATCATGCAGCGCCCGCAAGGTCCCCCTGCTCAAGAAAGCACATATACACGCCCGTCTGAAGTTTGCCAATAAACATCTGAATGATTCAGAGGAGAACTGGGTGAAAGTGTTGTGGTCAGATGAGACCAAAATGGAGCTATTTGGCATCAACTCAACTCGCCGTGTTTGGAGGAGGAGGAATGCTGCCTATGACCCCAAGAACACCATCCCCGCCATCAAACATGGAGGTGGAAGCATTATGCTTTGGGGGAGTTTTTCTGCTAAGGGGACAGAACAACTTCACCGCATCAAAGGGACGATGGACGGGGCCATGTACCGTCAAATCTTGGGTGAGAACCTCCTTCCCTCAGCCAGGGCATTAAAAATGGGTCGTGGATGGGTATTCCAGCATGACAATGACCCAAAAAACACGGCCAAGGCAACAAAGGAGTGGCTCAAGAAGAAGCACATTAAGGTCCTGGAGTGGCCTAGCCAGTCTCCAGACCTTAATCCCATAGAAAATCTGTGGAGGGAGCTGAAGGTTCGAGTTGCCAAACGTCAGCCTCGAAACCTTAATGACTTGGAGAAGATCTGCAAAGAGGAGTGGGACAAAATCCCTCCTGAGATGTGTGCAAACCTGGTGGCCAACTACAAGAAACGTCTGACCTCTATGATTGCCAACAAGGGTTTTGCCACCAAGTACTAAGTCATGTTTTGCAGAGGGGTCAAATACTTATTTCCCTTATTAAAATGGAAATCAATTTATAACATTTTTGACATGCATTTTTCTGGATTATTTTGTTGTTATTCTGTCTCTCACTGTTCAAATAAACCTACCATTAAAATGATAGACTGATCATTTCTTTGTCAGTGGGCAAACGTACAAAATCAGCAGGGGATCAAATACTTTTTTCCCTCACTGTACGTAGGTCTATTGACATTGACTGGCGCTGCCTGGCCTGTTCTGAGAAGGGGTTGGAACAGGACAGGTCAGAGGTCAGGATAATGAAGTGGAAGGTGGGTGGTTCAGCGTTCCAATTGGATCAGTGTCAGGGCATGGTTGTTTTCAGGGCATGGCTGTTCCACTGCTGACATGGAAATCAATGGGCAACATGTGCTGCTTTATCGCCACCACTGACAAACACATGTACTTACACACACACACACACACACACACACACACACACACACACACACACACACACACACACACACACACACACACCTTTCAGTGTGCGTGAGAAAGAAAACATGTCAATGTGTTATCATAGCCTGCGAGTTCTCTGGAAGGCAGATGTTTACACTAGGAGACAGAATCTACACTAAACATGAGAAATATGGAGCGAGATAGGAACAGAGAGAGACCGGAAGAAAGAGAGAGAGAGAGAGATATGGAAAGAGAGAGACACAGATGCCAGATTGTTGTCAACAAGGCTCAAGATGTTGTATGTTTGTTTTTCCTCTAGGATCATTCAAACCTGTGTGCACCACCAACAGGCTAAGGAAACCCTCATGGTCTGAAGGCTGTGGGGTTGACAGATTGACTGCCTCACTAGAATAATAACACACAGACAGCCATACAGTGATATCCTGTCTGTTAGGCGAGAGAGCAGGTAGTATTATCTTGAATGTGTTTACCCTGTGACTCAATGAGAACTGGATGCTTTCTTTCCACAACACACCAGTGAGACCTAAAGATTTAGTTCCCTGAGCTAACAGCCTTTAGCTCGGTGGGCTATTCCACAGCATTGAGGTGCGCAGACGACCTGGGCTCAAACCCAGTAAGTCACTCACATAGGCTTAGGCTACCCATCTATTTAGAGTGGATGTATGGCGGTGGCATTTCCCTGGTTTGCACTTTATAATAGATTATGCTATGTTGCCTACCCAAAGCGTCTACACCACATTTGTATTGTAATGTAACGGACAAAGACCCTGTGATAGCAGCACTATTGACTGGAATGGCATCTTTGCACACTTGCGCTTTGTGGACATCATGGATATAGCTTCACAAGGCAGAAATGAAATGATGGCATTGATGCTATAGTGCCGTCGGACTTCTATAGGTCTGACCTAATTAATTAGATGTAAACAACCATTCCGTAGGATTAAATAACACAACATCTTTCATTTGACATTAGCGCCGGAACCATAGTGAACCAACGGTCATCTCAGCGGTTGAGTAGCTAGGCCAGTGGAAAACCGTTCCGCCTGGGATGCCCGCGGCATGGAATGTCCATTCGAATGGTCCCTATGATGAACAAAGCGGCGAATCGTCGGCGGCAACTCACCATCGCAAAGCCTCAGCATCCTACGAAGCACTGCCCCAGCCATTCTGTCCGCATCTTGCCCAAAAACGACTCCTCCGAATCCTTCAGCATCCCTCATTTTGATACTCACTCCCTATGAATAGGATAGACAGTCAAAGCGCGCACTAGGGCGCGACGGATGATTCTAGCTAGTCCAGTTAATCCAATGCAGCCAGACACACACGACAACTGTAGCCTAATTCAAAAATATACAGTGACTAGTCTACATTATAGAACATATACTATCTATGTATAGCATAATCTTCGAGAAGTATCCTACATCTTCATCCAGTCCACATTCGAGGCTTTGCAGAGTGCCGACGAAAATAATGTGAGCGTCCAGGGCATTCGGAGGAGACATATAGCATCAGCAGGCTCAATAGGCTCATGCCGGGGCATACCATTCTAGGGAAAAGTGCAGGGCTGGAAGGATGAGGATAAGAGGGCAGGAGCGCTCTAGGACAAAATATGGAGGACAGTGGTGCCGACCCATGTGAGATGTTCTGCTTATAATGAAATGAAATGAAATTCTCAACATCAAATAAATATGAATATTTAACTAAATACATCCAGTGTTCAGAGTTGCCCTACGTAGCTGTGGTCCATAGGCTACTTGATAAATATGTCTAGGCTGGCTATGGGCCTATAATATAGCCCACATGTGAGATGTAAAATGTGGGCCTAATCATCCATAAAACTGCCAATAGCATTGGTGCCTATGTGGTCTGTCCTGTAAAAATTTGCTTCAACAAGTTACAAGTAAATGAATTAGGTTTTCTCAATTGAAAAAAAAAACAACTGCATTTGTTGAAGCCAAATATATGATTCAATGCCAACTGTTATATTTGATTATTAACAAACCTATATTTAAAGTTGCAACCTACTGTATTTAATTTAACACTCAACTTACTTTTCCCATTTGGTTAAACCTAATAAATAACACAAATGCAAACAAATATTTAATGTAAATAAAACCCATATTTCCATCTTTGTATGGACCGCAGAGTTGCCAGCACTTGTTAAATGCTAATGTAAGACATAGGAAAACAATGTGGCACATTTCATAGAGACTTTTAATGAAGTAAAAGGTTGATGGACAATACCCTAGATAAATATACAAAGTGTATTAGAATCTAATGATAATATTATAATGCACGCACACACACACACACACACACACACACACACACACACACACACACACACACACACACACACACACACACACACACACACACACACACACACACACACACACACACACACACACACACACACACACACACACACACTGTGATACATTTCTCCTCAACACCAATGTGCATTTATTACAGGGCAGATTAGTAGTGCACTGGGCCTTTACTAGTACTGTATTAGTGGAACGATATAGCAGTCTGGAGCACGAGCCAACTTTATTTTTCAGCATTCCCCACCCTCAAGCACCCCCATGCCCAAACTTCTTCCTATGTTTAAGGGGATCTAGGGGACTGGAGGTTACCACAGCACAGCACAACACCAGACCCTCCTGTCAATCCCTGTCTATACCTCTCTGGCACCCTCCTCAGGCTCGGGGTAGGAAGCGCAGGTTGATGGGTTTGGACGGGATGAGCAGTGTTCTAGTCTTGGGCTCTGTGGTTGGGGCCCCATCCTCTGGCTGGATCTCATAATGCTGCATCAGCTGTAGAGGGAAGACAAGAGTTCAAGATCAAGGGTTTAGTGTTAATGAGCTACCTGGTTGTCTGATGTCTCTCTAGCCAGAGAATCAGTTTACAGCCATAAAATTAAGTCTTTATAACGTCCCATGCCAAATTTTGCCAACTGAGACAGTGAAAGGAGAATATGGCCCCGCTCATAAAAATGCGGTTCGTCACCCCTGTTGTAAGTGTTGCACACTTAAGTTCCCGCACTCTCTCAGATTGCTTCAGGGGATTTAACATGAGCAAATCACCACAGAAGATGGACGAAATCCAACAACAATCCCCTCCAACAGTCTGTGATAATATCTCTTTGGCACTGACGGCTTTTTATTACTCAACACTTCCTTGAAAATCACAATGGAATACTCTTACTCACCCTGGAGAGGGCAAAGTGCATCTCTAGCTCTGCCACTCTCTTGCCCACACAGGCTCTCACGCCCACCCCGAAGGGTATAGAGCTGTAGGGGTGGTGTTGGTACGACTCTGGACCCACTCTCAGCCAACGCTCAGGCCTGAAACACTCTGCATCCACAAACTCCCCCTCGTCATGACTGGTAGCATAGTGACACAGATGGAACTGGGTCTGACAGAGGGGAATAGGAAGAAGGAGACATACAGGAAGTAAAGCGAGACTGACATTCCTTAGGAAACTGACAGAATTTCATGGAAATCACATCACATCCTTCGGTAAAAAATAGAGATTTCGTAAGTATTGACAAAGTTGATGAGAGAGAGGGGTGTTGATACCTTTCTCTCTTCATCGCCTGCCCTACCTTCTTTGGGAACCAGTAGTTGTCCACAACAACTTCATTGTCTACTGTCAGACGGCCATTCCCTGGAACTACAGGGTACATCCTGCAGAGAGAACAGCTTCAGCAACATGGGAGCCTCTGTAGGACTGCCTTATATAAACCTTTGTGTGGCTAGGAATGTTCAGTATACTAAGGTACTTAGCATTGGTATTTAGTAAAGTTTTAATACACCTAAATACAATAGAGTTGGCAAAGGCAGGTTGAGATTCTGACCTAGATGTTGTTATTGAGCATTTTAATCATTAGAAAATCAAGAACACACAGGAGGAATGGCTATGACCATATAGGAAGAGGTGGAGGGGGCCGGTGTCCCTGTCATCCAGGACCTCTATACCAGGCGGTATCAGAGGAAGGCCCTAAAAATTGTCAAAGACTCCAGCCACCCAAGTCATCGACTGTTCGCTCTGCTACCGCACAGCAAACGGTACCGGAGCACTAAGTCTGGGACCAAAAGGCTCCTGAACAGCTTCTACCCCCAAGCCATGACTGCTAAATAGTTAACCATATAGCTACCCGGACTATCGTCATTGAACCTTTTTGCACACTCTTTTTGATTCTATGCACACACACTGGACTCTACCCACACACTCACACTCGCGGCTACGGGACTACCGACCCATAGCCGCGAGCTGCCCAGTGACACAAGCCTACCAGATGAGCTAAATCACTTCTATGCTCGCTTCGAGGCAAGCAACACTGAAGCATGCATGAGAGCATCAGCTGTTCCGGATGACTATGTGATCACGCTCTCCGTAGCCAATGTGAGTCTGTAATACCAACATGTTTCAAGCAGACCACCATAGTCCCTGTGCCCAAGAACACTAAGATAACCTGCCTAAATGACTACCGACCCGTAGCACTCACGTCTGTAGCCATGAAGTGCTTTGAAAGGCTGGTCATGGCTCACATCAACACCATTATTCCAGAAACCCTAGACCCATTCCAATTTGCATACCGCTCCAACAGATCCACAGATGATGCAATCTCTATTGCACTCCACACTGCCCTTTCCCACCTGGACAAGAGGAACACCTAGGTGAGAATGCTATTCATTGACTACAGCTCAGCGTTCAACACCATAGTGCCCTCAAAGCTCATCCCTAAGCTAAGGACCCTGGGACTAAACACCTCCCTCTGCAACTGGATCCTGACTTCCTGATGGGCCGCCCCCAGGTGGTAAGGGTAGGTAACAACACATCTGCCAAGCTGATCCTCAACACGGGGGCCCCTCAGGGGTGCGTGCTCAGTCCCCTCCTGTACTCCCTGTTCACCCATGACTGCATGGCCAGGCACGACTCCAACACCATCATTAAGTTTGCAGACAACACAACAGTGGTAGGCCTGATCACCGACAACGATGAGACAGCCTATAGGGAGGAGGTCAGAGACCTGGCCGTGTGGTGCCAGGATAACAACCTCTTCCTCAACGTGATCAAGACAAAGGAGATGATTGTGGACTACAGGGGAAAAAAAGAGGACTGAGCACGCCCCCATTCTCATCAACGGGGCTGTAGTGGAACAGGTTGAGAGCTTCAAGTTCCTTGGTGTCCACATCACCAACAAACTATCATGGTCCAAACACACCAAGACAGTCGTGAAGAGGGCACGACAAAGCCTATTCCCCCTCAGGAGACTGAAAAGATTTGGCTTGGGTCCTCAGATCCTCAAAAAGTTATACAGCTGCACCATCGAGGGCATCCTGACTGGTTGCATCACCGCCTGGTATGGCAACTGCTTGGCCTCCGACCGCAAGGCACTACAGAGGGTAGTCATACGGCTCAGTACATCACTGGGGCCAAGCTTCCTGCCATCCAGGACCTCTATACCAGGCGGTGTCAGAGGGCCCTAAAAATTGTCAAAGACTCCAGCCACCCTAGTCATATACTGTTCTCTCTGCTACCGCACGGCAAGCGGTACCAGAGCGCCAAGTCTATGTCCAAAAGGCTTCTTAACAGCTTCTACCCCCAAGCCATAAGACTCCTGAACAGCTAATCATGGCTACCCGTACTATTTGCATTGCCCCCCCACCCCAACCCCCTCTTTTACGCTGCTGCTACTCTGTTTATTATTTATGCATAGTCACTTTAACTCTACCCACATGTACATATTACCTCAATTAACTCGACTAACCGTTGCCCCCGCACATTGACTCTGTACCGGTACCCCCTGTATATAGCCTCCCTACTGTTATTTTATTTTACTGCTGCTCTTTAATTATTTGCTATTTTCTATTTTTTACTTGACACTTTTTTCTCTCTTTATTTAAAAAATGCATTGTTGGTTAAGGGCTTGTAAGTAAGCATTTCACTGTAAGGTCTACACATGTTGTATTCGGCGCATGTGGCAAATAAAATTTGATTTGATTTGACATGCACACACACACACCCACAGATAACACGTATACACAGGCACACATTTGCCACACACACACACTTCCACACTCATCACATACGCTGCTGCTACTACTATTATCTATCCTGTTGCCTAGTCACTTTACCCCTACCTATATGTACATATCTACCTCAATTACCTCGTACCCCTGCACATCGAGTCAGTACTGGTACCCCGTGTATATAGCCAAGTTATCATTACTCATTGTGTATTACTCATATGGCGTCTCCCGAGTGGCGCAGTGGTCTAAGGCACTGCATCGCAGTGCTAGCTGTGCCACTAGAGATCCTGGTTTGAATCCAGGCTCTGTCATAGCCGGCTGTGACCGGGAGACGCATGGGGCGGCGCACAATTAGCCCAGCGTCGTCCAGGGTAGGGGAGGGGAGGGAATGGCCGGCAGGGATGTAGCTCAGTTGGTAGAGCATGGCGTTTGCAACGCCAGGGTTGTGGGTTCGATTCCCACGGGGGGCCAGTATAAAAAAAAAAATGTATTCACTAACTGTAAGTCGCTCTGGATAAGAGCGTCTGCTAAATGACTAAAATGTAAATGTATTATCCTCGTGTTACAATTTTTTACTTCTGCATTGTTGGGAAGGGCCCGTAAGTAAGCATTTCACTGTTAGTATACATCTGTTGTTTACGAAGCATGTGACAATTCAAATTTGAACACACCGTTCAGGTTATATAAGGACATTGCTGCCCACCCCTCCTCCTTATATTAACTGTCTGAAAAACATGCCCCATGCCTCCACCTTGAACATCTGCACGAAATGCCAACACGTTATCTCACTTATCAGTCATTATCAGTATAATTAGGGCAAGGAAAATGCAAGCAAACACACGCGCACAAACTCTCTTTGACCAGGCATGCTCAAAACAAGAGGCCAGTTGCAGGTCGCCATTCTTGATGTATGTGTGTGTGTGTGTATGTGTGTGCATGTGTGCATGTGCGTGTGTTCACCTCAGAACCTGCGTGTGTGAACGTGTGCATCCGTGCCTATGTGCGTGTATTCACCTCAGAGTCTCCTTGATGACAGCCTTCAGGTAGGGCATCCTGCTCACGTCCTCTGATCTGGGCTGCTGTCTTCCTGGACACACGGACATGATCTCACGGTACAGCATGTCCTGGGACGCAGTGTCGCGAGCTAAGTGGTACAACGCCCACGACAAGGTGTTGGACGTCTGAGGCGGAAGGAGAAGGACGATAGAAAGAAAGATGAAGTGATATAAAATATACTAAAACAAAAATATAAACGCATGTAGTGTTAATACCATGGTTTATGAGCTGAAATACAATATCCTAGAAATTTTCCATACTCACAAAAAGCTTATTTCTCTCAAATGTTGTGCGTACATTTGTTTACATGCCTGTTAGCGAGCATTTCTCCTTTGCCAAGATAATCCATCCACCTGACAGGTGTGGCATATCAAGAAGCTGATTAAACAGCATGATCATTATTACACAGGTGCACCTTGTGCTTGGGACAATAAAAGGCCACTCTAAAATGTGCAGTTTTGTCACACAACACAATGCCACAGATGTCTAAAGTTTTGAAGGAGCGTGCAATTGGTATGCTGACTGCAGGAATGTCCACCTGAGCTGTTGCCAGAGAATTGAATGTTCATTACTCTACCATAAGCCACCTCCAATATTGTTTTAGAGAATTTGGCAGTATGTCCAACGGCCTCACAACCGCAGACCACGTGTATGGCGTCGTGTGAGTGAGCGGTTTGTTGATGTCAACGTTGTGAACTGAGTGCCCCATTGTGGCGGTGGGGTAATGGTATAGGCAGGCATGAGCTACAGACAACGAACACAATTGCATTTTAGCAATGGCAATTTGAATGCACAGAGATACCGTGATGAGATCCTGAGGCCCATTGTCGTGCCATTCATCCACTGCCCTCACCTCATGTTTCAGCATGATAATGCACTGCCCCATGTCGCAAGGATCTGTACACAATTTCTGGAAGCTGAAAATGTCCCACTTCTTCCATGGCTTGCATACTCACCAGACATGTCACCCATTGAGCATGTATAGGATGCTCTGGATCGACGTGTACGACAGCATGTTCCAGTTCTCGCCCATATCCAGCAAAATTGCACAGCCATTGAAGAGGAGTCGGACAACATTCCACAATCAGCCTGATCAACTCTATGTGAAAGAGATGTGTCGCGCTGCATGAGGCAAATGGTGGTCACACCAGATACTGACTGGTTTTCTGATCCACGCCCCAACTTTGTGATATCCAATTGGTAGTTACAGTCTTGTCCCATCGCTGCAACTCCTGTACGGACTCGGGAGAGACGAAGGTCGAGAGCCATGTGTCCTCCGAAACACGACCCTGCAAAGCCGCACTGCTTCTTGACACACTGCTCGCTTAACCCGGAAGCCAGCCGCACCAATGTGTCGGAGGAAACACCGTACAACTGGTGACCGAGTCAGCGTGCACTGCGCCCGGCCCGCCACAGGAGTCGCTAGTGCGTGATGGGACAAGGACATCCTGGCCAGCCAAACCCTCCCCTAACCCGGACGACGCTGGGCCAATTGTGTGTCGCCTCATGGGTCTCCCGATCGCGGCCGGCTGCGACACAGCTCGGGATCGAACCTGGATCTGTAGTGACGCCTTAGACCGCTGTGCCACTTGGGAGACCCTACTTTTTCTTTTAAGGTATCTGTGACCAACAGATGCATATCTGTATTCCCAGTCATGTGAAATCCATAGATTAGGGCCTAATTTATTTATTTCAATTGACTGAGTTCTTATATGAACTGTAACTCAGTACAATCTTTGAAATTGTTGCATGTTGCGTTTAGATTTTTGTTCAGTATACTTAATTGTCCCTGAAGGGAAATTTGACTTGGACAATTAAAGTGCTGCTGTTTCAAAACAAGTATTACAAGTTGAGGGAGTGGTGGAGGCTGTATCAGAGACAAGTTATCAGTGATCATCAACATTTACTGACATCAATTCATCATAAAAGCAGCTGAGGAAAGTACTTTGGAACAGTAGATCATTTCAAGTGACATCTAGTCATTGAATAAGACCATCTCAAATGAGAACACTGATTTCCAAATGTTTAGCTAATGACGTTACATAAATGTCACGATCGTTAATGGATGAGACGGACCAAGGCGCAGCGTGATAAGCGTACATCTTTTATTAGTACTTACACGAACAAAACAACAAATGAACGATACGTGAAGTCCTGAGGTTATAACACAACAAACCTTTACGGATGTCACACCCTGGTTCTGGGACTCATTATGTTGAGCCAGGGTGTGTTCATTCATTGGGTGTATTTCTATGTTGGTATTTCTGTTGTGTTCATTTCTATGTGTGACTGAGTGACTCCCAATCAGAGGCAACGAGTGTCAGCTGTTTGCTGGTTGTCTCTGATTGGGAGCCATATTTAACTGTCTGTGTTTCACTTTGGGTTTGTGGGTTTTTGTTCCTTTACGGTCATTGTTACTGTGGACTTCACGAGTCGTCTATTGTTTTGGTTTTTGTGCGTTAGTATAATAAAGTCAATCATGTTCGCTCAACACGCTGCGTATTGGTCTACTCCTTACCCAGACGATCGTGACAGAAAAACCCACCATACAACGACCAAGCAGCGTGTCCAGGAACAAACGCAGGAGGTGACGCTGGTGGATGTCCTCCTCGGTTGGGGGCAGATTACCGAGGAGGAGGCCGTCCGGTACCGGAGGGCTATGAAGGGGGAGACCCAGGCAGGAGAGGAGCAGCGGCGTCAGCAGTGCCATCGTCGGACGGACGGGAGGCACCCCCAATAATTTTTTAGGGGGGGGCACACGGCGTGGGCGACTGGGCAGCAGGAGGCTGCCACAGGGCGAAATAGGAGACGAGGAGAGAAGGCCACCGGGTTACGGGAGCCATTGGCGAGAGGAGGGAAGGAAGTCGTAGAGGCACGGCGAGAGGTACTGAGGTGTATTGCCAGTCCGGTCCGGCCCGTTCCTGATCCCCGTTTAAAGCCAGTGGTGTGTGTTCCCAGTACGGTCCGGCCTGTCCCTGCTCCACGCAATAAGCCTACGGTGTGCGTCGCCAGCCCAGCCCGGCCTGTCCCTGCTCCACGCACCAAGCCTACGGTCTGCGTCGCCAGCCCAGTCCGGCCTGTCCCTGCTCCACGCAACAAGCCTACGGTGTGCGTCGACAGCCCAGCCCGGCCTGTTCCCGCTCCACGCACCAAGCCTACGGTGTGCGTCGTCAGCCCAGCCCGGCCTGTCCCTGCTCCACGCACCAAGCCTACGGTGTGCGTCGCCAGCCCTGTCCGGCCTGTCCCTGCTCCACGCACCAAGCCTACGGTGTGCGTCGCCAGCCCAGTCCGGCCTGTCCCTGCTCCACGCAACAAGCCTACGGTGTGCGTCGACAGCCCAGCCCGGCCTGTTCCCGCTCCACGCACCAAGCCTACGGTGTGCGTCGTCAGCCCAGCCCGGCCTGTTCCTGCCACCCGCACCAAGTCTACGGTGCGCGTCGCCAGCCCGACCCGGCCTGTTCCTGCCACCCGCACCAAGTCTACGGTGCGCGTCGCCAGCCCGACCCGGCCTGTTCCTGCCACTCGCACCAAACCTACAGTGCGCGTCGCCAGCCCGACCCGGCCTGTTCCTGCCACTCGCACCAAACCTACGGTGCGCGTCGCCAGCCCGACCCGGCCTGTTCCTGCCACTCGCACCAAACCTACGGTGCGCGTCGCCAGCCCGGTCCGGCCTGTTCCTGCCACTCGCACTAAGCCAGGGGTGCGAGAAGTCAGCCTGGTAAGGTCCGTTCCTCCTCCACGCACCAAGCCAGGGGTGCGAGTCGACAGACTGGACCAGGGGCACTATGGGGGGTTTATTGGAGGGTGGTGGTCAAGGCCGGAGCCAGAACCGCCGCCGAGGAGGTATGCCCGCCCAGCCCTCCCCTGTTTTGTTTAGTTGAGGCGCGGTCGCAGTCCGCGCCTTTAGGGGGGGGTACTGTCACACCCTGGTTCTGGGACTCATTATGTTGAGCCAGGGTGTGTTCATTCATTGGGTGTATTTCTATGTTGGTATTTCTGTTGTGTTCATTTCTATGTGTGACTGAGTGACTCCCAATCAGAGGCAACGAGTGTCAGCTGTTTGCTGGTTGTCTCTGATTGGGAGCCATATTTAACTGTCTGTGTTTCACTTTGGGTTTGTGGGTTTTTGTTCCTTTACGGTCATTGTTACTGTGGACTTCACGAGTCGTCTATTGTTTTGGTTTTTGTGCGTTAGTATAATAAAGTCAATCATGTTCGCTCAACACGCTGCGTATTGGTCTACTCCTTACCCAGACGATCGTGACAACGGATCAAGATCCCACAAACTAAATGGTGCCAACAGGCTGCCTAAGTATGGTCACAAATCAGAGACAACGAGCTACAGCTGTCTCTGATTGGGAACCACCCTGGCCAACATAGATCAACTAAACGATCTAGAACCAAACATAGAAAAACTAAACATAGAACATCCACACACTGGCTCAACAATTAAGAGTCCCCAGAGCCAGGGCGTGACAGTACCCCCCCCCCCCCCAAAGGCGCGGACTGCGACCGCGCCACACCAACACAACAGGGTAGGGGCCGGGTGGGCATTCCGCCTCGGAGGCGGATCCGGCTCCGGGCGTGACCACCACTCTCTCTCTACCCCCCCGTTGCGCCCCTGGTCTGGTCTGGCCCCGCTGGCCGGAGCTGGACTGAACACCGGTGGAACAGGCACGGGCCGTGCCGGACTGACGACGCGCACCACTGGCTTGGTGCGGGGAGCAGGAACGGGCCGGACCGGGCTGACGACGCGCACCACTGGCTTGGTGCGGGGAGCAGGAACAGGCCGGACCGGGCTGGCGACGCGCACCACTGGCTTGGTGCGGGGAGCAGGAACGGGCCGGACCGGGCTGGCGACGCGCACCACAGGCTTGGTGCGGGGAGCAGGAACGGGCCGGACCGGGCTGGCGACGCGCACCACTGGCTTGGTGCGGGGAGCAGGAACGGGCCGGACCGGGCTGGCGACGCGCACCACAGGCTTGGTGCGGGGAGCAGGAACGGGCCGGACCGGGCTGGCGACGCGCACCACAGGCTTGGTGCGGGGAGCAGGAACGGGCCGGACCGGGCTGGCGACGCGCACCACAGGCTTGGTGCGGGGAGCAGGAACAGGCCGGACCGGGCTGGCGACGCGCACCACAGGCTTGGTGCGAGGGACAGGAACAGGCCGGACCGGGCTGGCGACGTGCACCACTGGCTTGGTGCGGGGAGCAGGAACAGGCCGGACCGGGCTGGCGACGCGCACCACTGGCTTGGTGCGGGGAGCAGGAACCGGCCGGACCGGGCTGACGACGCGCACCACTGCCTTGGTGCGGGGAGCAGGAACGGGCCGGACCGGGCTGACGACGCGCACCACTGGCTTGGTGCGAGGGGCAGGAACAGGCCGGACCGGGCTGGCGACGCGCACCACAGGCTTGGTGCGGGGAGCAGGAACAGGCCGGACCGGGCTGGCGACGGGCACCACTGGCTTGGTGCGGGGAGCAGGAACAGGCCGGACCGGGCTGGCGACGGGCACCACTGGCTTGGTGTGGGGAGCAGGAACAGGCCGGACCGTACTGGGAACACACACCACTGGTCTTGTGCGGGGACCAGGAACGGGCCGGACCGGACTGGTGACACACACCACTTGCTTGGTGCGAGGAGCGGGACTGGGTTTCCTTATAAACCTCCGCTCCCTCTGCTGCCTAACCAGTACCTCTCGCCGTGCCTCTACACTCTCCTTCTCCCTCATGACCAATGGCCCCCGTAACCTGGTGGCCTCCTCTCCTAGTCCGCTGATTCGCCCTGTAGCTGCCTCCAGCAGCCCCGTCGTCCACGCCGTGTGCCCCCCCCAAAAAATGTCTTGGGGTTGCCTCTCGCGTGTCCGTCGTCGGCACGGTTGGCGCCGTTTCTCCTCTCCTGCCTGGGCATTTACCTTTGCCCATGGCCCTCTGCCCGCGAATATCTCCTCCCATGACCACCATTCGCCCACCTGAGACATCGCCCTCTTCTCCTCCTGGGCACGCTGCTTGGTCCTCTTGGGGTGGGATCTTCTGTCACGATCGTTAATGGATGAGACGGACCAAGGTGCAGCGTGATAAGCGTACATCTTTTATTAGTACTTACACGAACAAAACAACAAATGAACGATACGTGAAGTCCTGAGGTTATAACACAACAAACCTTTACGGATCAAGATCCCACAAACTAACTGGTGCCAACAGGCTGCCTAAGTATGGTCACAAATCAGAGACAACGAGCTACAGCTGTCTCTGATTGGGAACCACCCTGGCCAACATAGATCAACTAAACGATCTAAAAAAAAAAAAAACTAAACATACTAAAAAAATAAAATAAACATAAAACATCCACACCCTGGCTCAACAATTAAGAGTCCCCAGAGCCAGGGCGTGACAATAAAGGTTGAATAAATAGAGCATGAAGCTTGCACCAGGGAATTCAGCCAGGCAGGTTCTGCTGTGTTTGTATGGTTACTGTGTATTTGTCTGTGGTTATGTGCGTGTGTGAGTGAGTGCATTTTGTACCCTCTAAAATAAATTAAAAGTTAGTAACCAAAAAAGTGTTAAACAAATAAAAATATGTTTTATATTTGAGATTCTTCAAATACCCACCCTTTGCCTTGATGACAGCTTTGCACACTGTTGGCATTCTCTCAACCAGCTTCATGAGGTAGTCACCTGGAATGCATTTCAATTAACAGGTGTGCCTTCTTAAAAGTTAATTTGTGGAATTTCTTTCCTTCTTAATGCGTTTGAGCCAATCAGTTGTGTTGTGACAAGGTAGGGGGTATACAGAAGATAGCCCTATTTGGTAAAAGACCAAGTCCATATTATGGCAAGAACAGCTCAAATAAGCAAAGAGAAACAACAGTCCATCATTACTTTAAGACATGAAGGTCAGTCAATACAGAACATTTCAAGAAGTTTTAAAGTTTCTTCAAGTGCAGTCGCAAAAACCATCAAGCGCTATAATGAAACTGGCTCTCATGAGGACCGCCACAGGAAAGGAAGACCCAGAGTTACCTCTGCTGCAGAGGATAAGTTCATTAGTTACCAGCTTCAGAAATTGCAGCCCAAATAAATGCTTCACAGAGTTCAAGTCACAGACACATCTCAACATCAACTGTTCAGAGGGGACTGTGTGAATCAGGCCTTCATTACATTTACATTTTACATTTACATTACATTTTAGTTATTTAGCAGACGCTCTTATCCAGAGCGACTTGGTTGAATTGAATTCATGGTTTAATTGCTGCAAAGAAACCACTACTAAAGGACACCAATAATAAGAAGAGATCTGCTTGGGCCAAGAAACACGAGCAATGGACATTAGACCGGTGGAAATGTGTCCTTTGGTCTGCAGTCCAAATTTGAGATTTTTGGTTCCAACCGCTGTGTCTTTGTGAGACGCGGTGTGGGTGAACGGATGATCTCCGCATGTGTAGTTCCCATCGTACAGCATGGAGGAGGAGGTGTTATGGTGTGGGGGTGCTTTGCTGGTGACACTGTCTGTGATTTATTTAGAATTCAAGGCACACTTAACCAGCATGGCTACCACAGCATTCTGCTGTGATACGCCATCCCATCTGGTTTGGGCTTAGTGGGACAATCATTTGTTTTTCAACAGGACAATGACCCAACACACCTCCAGGCTGTGTAAGGGCTATTTTACCAAGAACGAGAGTGATGGAGTGCTGCATCAGATTACCTGGCCTCCACAATCCCCCAACCTCAACCCAATTGAGATGGTTTGGGATGAGTCGGACGGCAGAGTGAAGGAAAAGCAGCCAACAAGTGCTAAGCATATGTGGGAACTCCTTCAAGACTGTTGGAAAAGCATTCCAGGTGAAGCTAGTTGAGAGAATGCCAAGAGTGTGCAAAGCTGTCATCAAGGCAAAGGGTGGCTATTTGAAGAATCTCAAATATAAAATAAATGTTGATTTGTTTAACACTTTTTTGGTTACTACATGATTCCATATGTGTTATTTCATAGTGTTGATGTCTTCACTATTATTCTACTATGTAGAAAATAGTAAAAATAAAGAAAAACCCCTGAATGAGTAGGTGTGTCCAAACTTTTGACTGGTACTGTATATGTCTACAAACTAAAGCAAATGGTCTCAGTATTTATGGCCTGGGGAGAATCATGCAATCTTAAAGCCAAAATACACCTCCACCCTACAAAAGCCTCTGACTCCATCACGCCACCCATTCCCTAGGACATGTCCAGTACGCACAAAACAGAAGAAAACATTTTGAAATGTGGAGGAAATAATCAAATTTTGCCAATAAGAAATTCACATGTTCGTTTTCCATTTCAATAGGTTTGTTTACGGTGTGTCCTACAGAACATGACCCTGCTGTTGTGTATAGCACCACCTTCCTCTATGTAGGACCTCCCATGACCCTCTCCTCTCACCGTGTCCACTCCGCCCAGCAACAGCTCTGTGATGCTGATGTACACCTCTCCCAGGGACAGTTTATCACAGGACAGCAGGTGGGTCAGATACATCCCCTCCACCTGCTTCCCAGCCAGCACCTGGGCTTCCATCTGCGCCAATTTACGGTCAACCAGACGCTGAGCTGAGGGTTTATATAGAAATACATTGAACACACACATTCATGTAGGGGACACACACAAACACACAACATGAGTCTCAATAGCGAACACAGCTCAACAGTTAGTCTCCCTAGGCAGACGGGTTGCCTCCCACATTAACAAAGTTCAGAATCTGTGATTTCTGAGACTACTCAACAGTGCTTAGTGGCTGACATGCAAGTGACAGTGCAAGCAATTGTGAAGTAGAAATAACCCTATGCTTGCATTGTGGAGGTCGAACCTACCATGTCTACTTTCCACCTACACCTTTAAGTCTGCCGATCGCTCAATAGAAGGACCCCCTAACATTATTTACAAACATACCTACATCCACGAGGTCGTCCCAGGCTTGGATAAATCGTTTCCAGAAGGGCAGGACGTTGCGTGTCCAGAGCGGTAGGAAGAGGACTGTCTCAGACAGGGTTAGCATGTCGTTGGCTGCAGCGATAAACTTCAGCGTGTCCTTAGGGATCTCCTCCTGCAGACAACCCAGGCGCGTCTCAAACAGGATGGAAGAGATACCTGCAGGGAGGGAGAGAACAGAGTGAACCATAAGGACTACACAGAGCTGGTGGGATTCTAGGTATCCTTTATGCCATCTCCTGCCGTTGTGCCCCTGAGCAAGGCACTTTACCTAAGCTGCTCTAGGGGCACGGCACTGTGGCTGACCCTGGTTTCCAACCCCACTCGGTGTGTGTGTGATTCTGAAGGAGTTAAAAGCATAAAAAATATTGAATGAACCAATGATACCACACCTTCAAAGCCAAACTTGTAGAGCTCTGCGGTGATGTCTGGTACGGTGGTGTGGTCCTGACTGCTGAGACGGAGCCTCTCAATACGCTGTAGCAGGTCCCCTACCACCTGGTGGATGACAGGCGCATACGCAGACACCTCCGCTAGCTTCAGCATCTTTGGATTCAGGGCACTACGGATACGGTACCACTCTGGGCCTTTACTGTAGGAGAGGAGAGGACAGGAGACAGACAGTGAATCTACAGTAGATATTCAGAATAAAGGGGTAGCGGTATATCTACAGGTAACGGCCAAAATAAAGGAACAACTTAAGTAAATGAGGGATACAAAATATTTTTAAAGCAAGTGATTCCACACAGGTGTGGTTCATGAGTTAATTAAGCAATTAACATCCCACCATGGATCTCAAATGAGCATAGGGGGTTTAAAGTGTGTGTGTGTGTGTGTCAGTCACTAGATCTCAACCCAATTGAACACTTATGGAAGATTATAGAGCAGCGCCTGAGACAGTGTTTTCCACCACCATCAATAAAACACCAAATGATGAAATTTCTCGTGGAATAATGGTGTCACATCCCTCCAATAGAGTTCCAGACACTTGTAGAATCTATGCCAAGGCGCATTCAAGCTTTTCTGGCGACTAGTGGTGGCCCAATGCCCCATTAAGACGCTACGTTGGCGTTTCCTTTAATTTGGCAGTTACCTGTAGGTTAGATGGATAATGTTGGAGGTGGAGGTACTACTGAAACAAGCTTACCTGCAGGACCATGGTTTCCTCAAACCAGACCAACATTGCTTTTACCCAAGGCAATGATTTATTACCAATAACAGTCATAATGTATCTTTGAAGTATAGGGTGCAAGCAATGTTCCCTCTAAGCTGTGCACCTCCAGGACTGCCGAGCAGAAGAAATGCCATGCCGTGCAGAGACGCAAGAGATTGAACTTCACTGAGGTCGCCACATAGATTAAAGTTTTTTTCTGTGATCGAATATTTGCCCCTTTTCAATGCAATAAACCAAAACAAATCTAACTTTGCAAGTTTGAGTCTGTGATTTAGTTGTAGGCAGAGCCAGAGCGCACAGGAGTATAATTCTATTGGCGGGGGTAGCCCATGAGCGGTCTTTCAATCACCCATGCGTGAATGCGCTTTTCAGATCAGTTCAGATCAGAGTGCGCGTGTGCACATTTGTTGATATTCTTTGCTAGTTAGCGAGTTATTCGCCCAGTTATTGATAAGTATAGGTCAGCAATGGGAAGTTACTGCTTCATACAAGAGCACAAAACGTTTAGGCCACATTTCAAGCTGTCTTTGAAAAGCTAGTCAGGTAAAAAGCTTACATCTTAATTAAAGGGGCAGTGTTGTATTTTGAGACATGCTTGAATATGCAAATAAGCCAATAGGCAGAGGGGTAGCCTACATTGTCTAATTCTCTGTATGTTAATAATAGTTAATTTTATTTTGTAAAGTGGTTTCTTGCATCATACAACACAATACAATGCTATTTCCAGTCACCTATTTGGCCCATGGTGTTACAGACCAAGTAAAGAATAATTAATATCAAGCCCTTCATAATATAAAAACGTTTTTAAAAGGCTCATGCAATATAGGCCTGCATTGAACACCACATACAGTGAGGGAAAAAAGTATTTGATCCCCTGCTGATTTTGTACGTTTGCTCACTGACAAAGAAATGATCAGTCTATCATTTTAATGGTAGGTTTATTTGAACAGTGAGAGACAGAATAACAACAAAATAACCCAGAAAAAACGCATGTCAAAAATGTTATAAATTGATTTGCATTTTAATGAGGGAAATAAGTATTTGACCCCCTCTCAATCAGAAAGATTTCTGGCTCCCAGGTGTCTTTTATACAGGTAACGAGCTGAGATTAGGAGCACACTCTTAAAGGGCGTACTCCTAATCTCAGTTTGTTACCTGTATAAAAGACACCTGTCCACAGAAGCAATTAATCAATCAGATTCCAAACTCTCCACCATGGCCAAGACCAAAGAGCTCTCCAAGGATGTCAGGGACAAGATTGTAGACCTACACAAGGCTGGAATGGGCTACAAGACCATCGCCAAGCAGCTTGGTGAGAAGGTGAAAACAGTTGGTGCGATTATTCGCAAATGGAAGAAACACAAAATAACTGTCAATCTCCCTCGGCCTGGGGCTCCATGCAAGATCTCACCTCGTGGAGTTGCAATGATCATGAGAACGGTGAGGAATCACCCAGAACTACACGGGAGGATCTTGTCAATGATCTCAAGGCAGCTGGGACCATAGTCACCAAGAAAACAATTGGTAACACTCTACGCCATGAAGGACTGAAATCATGCAGCGCACGCAAGGTCCCCCTGCTCAAGAAAGCACATATACAGGCCCGTCTGAAGTTTGCCAATGAACATCTGAATGATTCAGAGGAGAACTGGGTGAAATGTTGTGGTCAGATGAGACCAAAATGGAGCTCTTTGGCATCAACTCAACTCGCCGTGTTTGAAGGAGGAGGAATGCTGCCTATGACCCCAAGAACACCATCCCCACCTTCAAACATGGAGGTGGAAACATTGTGCTTTGGGGGTGTTTTTCTGGTAAGGGGACAGGACAACTTCACATCAAAGGGACGATGGACGGGGCCATGTACCGTCAAATCTTGGGTGAGAACCTCCTTCCCTCAGCCAGGCCATTGAAAATGGGTCATGGATGGGTATTCCAGCATGACAATGACCCAAAACACACAGCCAAGGCAACAAAGGAGTGGCTCAAGAAGAAGCACATTAAGGTCCTGGAGTGGCCTAGTCAGTCTCCAGACCTTAATCCTATAGCAAATCTGTGGAGGGAGCTGAAGGTTCGAGTTGCCAAACGTCAGCCTCAAAACCTTAATGACTTGGAGAATATCTGCAAAGAGGAGTGGGACAAAATCCCTCCTGAGATGTGTGCAAACCTGGTGGCCAACTACAAGAAACGTCTGACCTCTGTGATTGCCAACAAGGGTTTTGCCACCAAGTACTAAGTCATGTTTTGCAGAGGGGTCAAATACTTATTTCCCTCATTAAAATGCAAATCAATGTATAACATTTTTGACATGAGTTTTTCTAGATTTTGTTGTTGTTATTCTGTCTCTCACTGTTCAAATAAACCTACCATTAAAATTATAGACTGATCATTTCTTTGTCAGTGGGCAAACGTACAAAATCAGCAGGGGATCAAATACTATTTTCCCCTTACTGTATAGGCTACTGTAGTCTATATCACAAAAATCAAAAGCAATTTCCAGGTGAAAATGTTATGGGATTTGCTCCAATGGTTTTGTTGGTAGGCCTACATTATGCTCAAATAGCCAGAATAGCCTATTGGCTACTGTCTAAAACTGTAAGGGTACTGCCTCAGAGTTTACTGCAAACACCCTGGAAGTTGCACAATGTTCATGTTTCCGCTCACAAGAGCAAAAATGTGCTCAGTGCCCCAGAATATTCGAGGGAACAGTGGGTGTAAGTATTATCCATTCCCTTTCCTACACCCCATCTAGGAATAGTTCTTCATGTGGTTCAATGCAGATTGCGACACAATCTCATCGGCCACTCACTCCACATGGAGTCCATAGGCCTGTCCCCTCATGTCGCGGTACTCCTTCCAGTGTGGCAGCTCTGTCCGGACCGGGTAGCAGCCCTCCTGATGTATCACCTGGGATATAAGCTCTGGAGATGCCACGTTCACCACGTCAAACGGGCCGAACCGCGAGCGCCAGATGGGGCCGTACAGTTTCTTGTGTTCAACCTGGGTTGGGGGCAAAGAGAAGAAGATCTTAGATTCTGGAAATGTACACAAAGATGTGTTGGAAATGCACAGTGAGACAGTCCTATATTATTAATATTTAATATGAATGAATGATTCACAAAATATACACTGAGTGTACAAAACATTTCCATGACATAGACTGACCATGTGAATCCAGGTGAAAATTATGATCCCTTATTGATGTCACCTGTTAAATCCACTTCAATCAGTGTAGATGAAGGGGAGGAGACAGGTTAAAGAAGCCTTGAGACATTGATTGTGTATGTGTGCCATTCAGAGGGTGAATGGGCAAGACAAAATATTTAAATGCCTTTTAACGGGGTATGGTAGTAGGTGCCAGGCGCACCGGTTTGAGGGTGTCAAGAACTGCAAAGCTGCTGGGTTTTTCATGCTCAACAGTGTCCCGTAAGTATCAAGAATGGTCCACCACCCAAAGGACATCCAGCCAACTTGACACAACTGTGGGAAGCATTGGAGTCAACATGGGCCAGCATGCCTGTGGAATGCTTTTGACACATTGTAGTCCATGCCCTGACAAATTGAGGCTGTTCTGAGGGCAAAGGGTGGTGCACTAAATATTAGGAAGGTGCTCCTAATGTTTTGTACACAGTGTATATTTATTAATGAATAACAGTATATAAACTACTTATTAACCTAATTAGTCATAAATCAACCTCTAGTTTAATAAACCATGAAGCCAGGTGCGTAACTTGGGGGATCATGACCCCACCAATAATACAGTGCTATGAAAAAGTATTTGCCCCCTTTCTAATTTTCTCTACTTTTGCATATTTGTGATACTGAATGTTATCAGATCTTCAACCAAAACCCAATATTAGATAAAGGGAACATAAGTGAACAAATAACACAACAATTACATATTTATTTCATAAACAAAGTTATGCAACACCCAATTCCCCTGTGTGAAAAAGTAATTGCCCCCTTACACTCAATAACTGGTTGTGCCACCTTTAGCTGCAATGACTCCAACCAAATGCTTCCTGTAGTTGTTGATCAGTCTCTCACGTCGCTGTGGAGGAATTTTGGCCCACTCTTCCATGCAGAACTGCTTTAACTCAGTGACGTGTGGGTTTTCAAGCATGAACTGCTCGTTTCAAGTCCTGCCACAGCATCTCAATTGGGATTAGGTCTGGACTTTGACTAGGCCATTCCAAAACTTCCAATTTGTTGCTTTTTAGCAATTTTCATGTAGACTTGATTGTGTGTTTTGGATCATTGTCTTGCTGCATGACCCAGCTGCGCTTCAGCTTCAGCTCACAGACGGATGGTCTGACATTCTCCTGTAGAATTCTCTGATACAGAGCAGAATTCATGGTTCCTTCTATTAAGGCAAGTCGTCCAGGTCCTGAGGCAGCAAAGCATCCCCAAACCATCACACCACCACCACCATGCTTGACCTTTGGTATGATGTTCTTACTGTGGAATGCAGTGTTTGGTTTTTGCCAGGCATAATGGGACCCATCTCGTCCAAAAAGTTGACTCAAGTTTGCCAAAAAGCACCTGGATGATCATCAAGACTCTTGGAAGAACGTTCTATGGACAGATGATTCAAAAGTATAACTTTTTGGAAGACATGGTTCCAGTAATGCCTGGCGAAAACCAAACACTTCATTCCACAGTAAGAACAACATACCAAAGGTCAAGCATGGTGGTGGTGGTGTGATGGTTTGGGGATGCTTTGCTGCCTCAGGACCTGGAATAAATTAAATAAATACGTAATTGTTGTGTTATTTGTTCACTTATGTTCCCTTGATCTAATATTAGGTTTTGGTTGAAGATCTGATAACATTCAGTATCACAAATATGCAAAAGTAGAGAAAATTAGAAAGGGGGCAAATACTTTTTCATAGCACTGTATACTACTAGCACTGTATAATACTACATAGGACTGTATAATACTACTATAAATTTGATGGATGGGAAATTATTTAACCACCATAGGTCCTGGCTTTCTACACAGTACTACTCAATTCCTAATTTTATGAATGGATCCCCCCCGCTGCCAATTATGCTTTGGTTTGGTCTGGTCGTCAGAGGTCATGGTTTGTGAAGGGAAAAAAAGTTTTGCAAGGCTTGAAAACCCTTAATTCTGTGAGCTAACTTGTAACAAATAAAGAAATACAGTCATATTTAACATGGTAAATTCATAAGCACAAATATATAGAATTATATAGAAAATGATATTTTTCAAATAGAGAAAGTTTCTATTGCAAAGTGACATATCGCGTGAGCACTATTTCTCAAAATGACAGATAATTTGTAATGGTTATATTAGGCTCAACTATGTTCAAAGACAACTTTGGTAATATTATTGATAGATTAATTATTAATAACTAATTATTACACCCTGAAACTGTGTGAAATGTGTTAGAATGTGTGAGTGTAGGACCAGTAAAGATTATGACATTGTGTTACTATTTAGCAATGTGAGTAAGAGTTAGGCCAGACAACAAAGGACAAGGAGAACTGTCTACAGGCAACTGATAACTGAGGAATTTAGGGAGGAGAGAAACTGTTAGGCTTTTTAAGGAGTATGCAGGATATTGTGAGGACGGCAATAACTAAGGAATGCATGTGTGTGTGTATGTATGTGTGTGTATGTATGTGTGTGTGCATGTGTGTGTGTGTGTGTGTGTGCACATGTGTGTGTGTATGTATGTTTGTGTGTGTGTGTGTATATGTGTGTGTGTGTGTGAACTGATGGTCAGGAGAGCAATTTTAAAGTGGAAAACTACAGCCTGCCTACAGAAAGGAGGGATTTTTGTATGACATATGAGTATAAAAGATGGACTCTGAAATTGTGATGGCAGAATTCTCAATGAATAAATCTCTGACTATGCAGACCGGGACTCTGTCCGTTACTTAAATCCCAAAAAACCTTTTGGGAGACGTACAGAGACACTGAAATAGTTTGTTAAATAATTCACTTAACAGCTTGGTCCTTCGAGCCGGATTCCAATACCTGCCTCTGTCATTCCAGGTAACTCTGAAAACCGTCGACGGGCGAATGATACATTCGTAAATAGAAAGTCCTGCCCTTTGACATTAAGGGTTAAGACAGGCCAGAGGACACCTGATTAATGACAGAGACGGTGACGGAATCCAAACCTACATTGAATCTCGGCTGCAAGGATAAGGTCAGTAGTCTTTATTCATTACTTGGTGAAATTGATTTAAGAACTTGCTAAAATATTGAAAAGTAGCAAATTGATCAATGCGTAGCCATTTTAAGTGAAATGTATGGGACTGTCAGGAATGATCAAGATTACATTGTGGGGATAAATTCCTCCGTAGAGTAGGAGATAATTATGGGGGACTAGTCAACCTGTTGGTGGGTCCGTAACGATTCACGGTAATAGGCCATTACCAAAAGAAACTACCCAGTGTTGAAATAGAAGTAACTATTAAAAGTACACCTAAGGGATGTAACCTGTAAGAGATTATAGAACAGTCAACAAATAATCCGGGTTAAACAAATACAAAAAGTACACCAGAAGGAATTAAAATAGCATGTGTGAGAAATAGAATATTAGTAAAGTCAAAAGTCACAAACAACTGTAGATTTTGCCGTAACTCTATCCGTTTCATGAAACTGGAGCCTTACAAACTCCGGGTTACCGATAGTGTTAACCAATAATCATGTAAGGTTGTATACGTGTGAGACCTAATATTTGCTCAAAAGTCACATCTATGAATAATTCCAGGTGGTTGTATAGTGGAGGGAGAACCCATTCCTATTGAATGGGTCTGTCAGGAATTATCAAGATTACATTGTGGGGATAAATTCCTCCGTAGAGTAGGAGATAATTCTGGGGGACTAGTACCTATACAGGAAGGGGTGATTCCAGGTGTGGTGTGAAACTGTTTTAACTAACTTGTTATATAGAAGAGGAACGGAAGGATTCAGAGCTAAGCTCAGGAGGGAGTCAGTATGAGTCAGGAGATGAGAGAGTAGGAGGGGGCCAGTACCCACTGATAGCCTTACCTAATCTATTGGCAGGGAATGAAGGGGCCCCAGCAACCTTAGATGTATACAGTAATAATAATAATAATAATATGCCATTTAGCAGACAGGCCATGAACACAGAGGACGTGGCTAGAGCGGTAGAAGGAATGACGTACCCCAAAACAGGAATAGTAAGGTTTGGGCTGCCGTTAGAGGGCAGTTGGTTTCAGGGGATGCCCAGAGGGCACTTTTGCCATGGGCCGATCACGGAGAGTATGTTGGGAAAATAACTGAATTGTGTAATAGCCTCAGAGAACATTACCATCGTCATGCAGACTTCTCTAAAGTACATGAGTGTAAACAAGAGGATAGTGAGACTGTCAGCCAGTACTTAGAGAGGGTTAAAGATGTGTTTAACGCAAACAGTGGCATACCCGAGCCAGACCAGAGACAGGGGAGTGATACGCCCTACCATCAGCAATTAAAAATATAGCGTTCCTCAGTGGAATAAGACCAGAGATAAGCAGGACCATTAAAAATACTTTGATAGGGTGGAGAAAAGCACAGCAACACATATTGAGGTTAAAAGGTATGCAGGTTACCAAGAGCAGATTGGGAGAGAAAAGAGGAGTAATAGAGACCTTAAGGGAGTGCCAACTCTCGGGGAGATAGTGAGGCCAGAACAAAGGAGCATTGTCCTGGAAATCACAGTCTGTTTTGTTTTTTTCAGTTCTGCTGGGAGTACATTTGATGATGGGGTTTTGTGTTGAATTAGAGGCTAGAGACTTCATAAAATAATAATTGGAATAATAATTATATATTAACTTGCTCACCCAAACGTAGACATACGTCATGGGTGAGACATAATTAATATAATATTGTACAAAGCCAATTTAGGGTTTCCATTAAGGAACGTCAATCACTACATTGGATATTAATACTATGGAGATAAATTCAATATATGCTGGTCAACTACGGCATGTGTTTGGTGTTACTTGTAGCCTACATAGAAAGGACAGTTACCTATATCTGCTGTATTCTAAACAATGACAGATTGGGGGTTTCATAAGAGGTGGCTATAATTTTAGTTGATAACAAAGGTAATTAGATTTCAGAAAGGTTGAATTGCATTGTTTAAGCAAGAATGGCATTAAATTCATGCTTTCTAGTTATGTGTATGCAAATATGTTATTCGTTTTTGGTGGTGTGTAGATAGAATTTACTAATGCCAGGATTTAGTAAACGAAGCAGAGAGATGTAGTGAGAGCAGTGGAAGGGATACCCCACCCCAAGACGGGGGTACACCAGTTCAGAAGAGATATGGAAGGGCTGACCGCCAGCTTTAAGCTGAATACAGGGGAACTAGAGAGGGCAGTCAGACAGATAGAGCTAAAGGACTGGGCGGCAGTGAGAGGAAACTGGGTTCCCGGGGATGGGAATGCGCAGGTCCTAGAGTGGGCAGAAGGAGGGGCTTATGGAGATAAATTGCCACAACTGTGATAATCTGAGAGAATATTATCACAGACATGCCGACTTCTCCAAAGTCCATGAGTGTAGGCAGGGAGACAGTGAGACTATTAGTCAATACCTAGAGAGACTGAGAGATGTGTTCAATGCAAACAGTGGGCTAATAGATCCAGGACCAGGGGCACCAGAGGGTCCGTATCACCAACAGTTAAAGATTGCCTTCCTAAGTGGAATGAGGCCAGAAATCTCTCAAGCAATAAAAAACTGGGGGACGGCTACCTTAGCTGAAGTTAAGCGTTATGCAATCTATCATGAGCAGAATGGAAAGGAACGAAACAAGAAAAAGGAAGTGAAGGGAGCTGAGTACCTAGTGGCAGCCCTAGGGGAGATGGGAGGTAGGAGAGACTGGAAGGACCTAGGAGAGAAGAGAGGTTACGGTAGCAAAGACAGACAAGAAGGAAACGGTAATAGTGGAGACAGGAGTGAGTGGAAGTGTTACAATTGTGACAAAACGGGACATTTTGCTAGAGAATGTGAGGAACCGTGTAGTTACTGTGGAAGGAAAGGGCACCAGTTAAGAAACTATAGGCAGAAGGGGAAGAGAGGAAAAGGAGGAAAGTATAATCCAGGCAGAGGAGGAAGAGACAGGGGGAGAAAGCCAGAATCAGAGGAAGAAGAGGAGGCATGACTAGAGAAGGGGAAGAGAGAAATCAGGAGTCCTCATGACCTGGCTATTTTGGTTTGTTGTTTTTTAATTGGGGTTTTCAAATAAAAAACAACACACCTAGTATGATGTTTATAAATCCTTGTTATTTTGATTTTAGGGGGTTTTCAACAGGTCAAAGGTGATAAGTCTTAAAGGAGCACACACAGTGAATTTTATGGAGTTTTTCTGTTTTGACTGAGTTTAGGGTATACATGATTTCTTATGAGAATAAATGTCATGAGGACTTAATGAACACTTGGGATAAGTAACATTTATGAAATATTTAGAATAATGGTAATGTTTAGTATACTATGGGATGGAACAGTTTGTTGAATGATTTCAATTGCCTCTGAACTCTGTTTTGACTTTCTGGTGTTAATTCATCATCCACACTGGTAATTCTAAAGGCATGAGAGGAGGACTTTAAGATAGTTTATTTTACCAAGTTGAGGGTAATTTATAGTACTGTGAAAAGTGTGAAGATTATATAATTTGGTAATAATATATATGATTTGAACCATAAAATAACAGAAGAGAGAGAGAGCTTTCCCTGAATGACGGATACCTGTTGCTAGTCAATTGTACTAATCTTGGATTACTTTTACGGGATAGAAGTAAGTTGAGGTATTATCAAATGTTGTCATTTAAATTTCATTTTTATTATGCTTTAATAAACAACAAGTTGGTATTTGAAACTAAATTAATGCAATGAGCTGCAGTAATCAGAGGAAGGCACAATCTAATGCGAAACAGCTATTACCTAGATCATTTATTTAGTAATGAGATCAGGAAGATAGGAGCAATAAAGAAGCAAGGGACAGTCTCGAAAATAAATAAGGGATGGCAATTGGATGATAAATTACCAATATTACCTAAGTGATTGTTTAGGTAGGTGGTAATATTGACACATGGGCAGTGACATGTGTCAAGAGGAGGGATGGATGGTAGAGCAGATTAGACAACACTTTGTTGCATATGGGATTATTAATTATTATTTATTTTTTTACTTTTGTTCAAGATGTAAAATAATCACCAGGGCAGACAAAGGGCACCTCAGGGTGAGTATCCTCCGGCTAAGTACCCTTTCCAGCAATTGGAAATTGATTTTATAGAGTTTTTTTATAGAGAAATGTAGAGTAACCCCAGATAAAGATGGGTTATCCCCCTTTGAGAAAGTGTTTAGAAGACCTTAGAGAATGCCACAGTTGGCAGGACCAGACAGGCAGACATAGAACTAGAGAATACACTAGCAGAACACATGAGAAAATTGTTCATTAACCGTATGTCTAAGAATTTGTGTCCTACAGGAGAATTAAAGGAGAAGGTGATTCATAGTATATAACCTGGAGACTGGGTGTGGATCCAATCGTTGAGGAAAAAGGATCGAAAGCAGTCACGCTGGGAGGGACCATACCAAGTCCTATTGGTACAGTGGGGGAAAAAAGTATTTAGTCAGCCACCAATTGTGCAAGTTCTCCCACTTAAAAAGATGAGAGAGGCCTGTAATTTTCATCATAGGTACACGTCAACTATGACAGACAAAATGAGGAACAAAAATCCAGAAAATCACATTGTAGGATTTTTTATGAATTTATTTGCAAATTATGGTGGAAAATAAGTATTTGGTCAATAACAAAAGTTTCTCAATACTTTGTTATATACCCTTTGTTGGCAATGACACAGGTCAAACGTTTTCTGTAAGTCTTCACAAGGTTTTCACACACTGTTGCTGGTATTTTGGTCCATTCCTCCATGCAGATCTCCTCTAGAGCAGTGATGTTTTGGGGCTGTCGCTGGGCAACACGGACTTTCAACTCCCTCCAAAGATTTTCTATGGGGTTGAGATCTGGAGACTGACTAGGCCACTCCAGGACCTTGAAATGCTTCTTACGAAGCCACTCCTTCGTTGCCCGGGCGGTGTGTTTGGGATCATTGTCATGCTGAAAGACCCAGCCACGTTTCATCTTCAATGCCCTTGCTGATGGAAGGAGGTTTTCACTCAAAATCTCACGATACATGGCCCCATTCATTCTTTCCTTTACACGGATCAGTCGTCCTGGTCCCTTTGCAGAAAAACAGCCCCAAAGCATGATGTTTCCACCCCCATGCTTCACAGTAGGTATGGTGTTCTTTGGATGCAACTCAGCATTCTTTGTCCTCCAAACACGACGAGTTGAATTTTTACCAAAAAGTTCTATTTTGGTTTCATCTGACCATATGACATTCTCCCAATCTTCTTCTGGATCATCCAAATGCACTCTAGCAAACTTCAGACGGGCCTGGACATGTACTGGCTTAAGCAGGGGGACACGTCTGGCACTGCAGGATTTGAGTCCCTGGCGGCGTAGTGTGTTACTGATGGTAGGCTTTGTTACTTTGGTCCCAGCTCTCTGCAGGTCATTCACTAGGTCCCCCCGTGTGGTTCTGGGATTTTTTGCTCACCGTTCTTGTGATCATTTTGACCCCACGGGGTGAGATCTTGCGTGGAGCCCCAGATCGAGGGAGATTATCAGTGGTCTTGTATGTCTTCCATTTCCTAATAATTGCTCCCACAGTTGATTTCTTCAAACCAAGCTGTTTACCTTTTGCAGATTCAGTCTTCCCAGCCTGGTGCAGGTCTACAATTTTGTTTCTGGTGTCCTTTGACAGCTCTTTGGTCTTGGCCATAGTGGAGTTTGGAGTGTGACTGTTTGAGGTTGTGGACAGGTGTCTTTTATACTGATAACAAGTTCAAACAGGTGCCATTAATACAGGTAACGAGTGGAGGACAGAGGAGCCTCTTAAATAAGAAGTTACAGGTCTGTGAGAGCCAGAAATCTTGCTTGTTTGTAGGTGACCAAATACTTATTTTCCACCATAATTTGCAAATAAATTCATAAAAAATCCTACAATGTGATTTTCTGGATTTTTGTTCCTCAATTTGTCTGTCATAGTTGACGTGTACCTATGATGAAAATTACAGGCCTCTCTCATCTTTTTAAGTGGGAGAACTTGCACAATTGGTGGCTGACTAAATACTTTTTTTCCCCCACTGTAACTGCCTTCGCTATAAGAATAGCTGAGAGAGCCACTTGGGTCCACGTTACCCACTGCAAAAAGGTAGGCCCACATACCAACACCGTTGAACACACACAGAGTTAAAGAGAAGAACTGACCCATTAGGGTTCGGGGGTAAACTCTGTTAACGAAGAAACCCTACCCCGACCTTTCATCACTGTGGGGTGTTTATAGAGGTATGGGTATGGGGAAGTACCAGGCAGGTGGGTCAGGGACAGGATTGGGATGGCGGTTTTGGGGATTTTGGGGGACTCTGAGCTGCATCATCATGTTAACCATATTATGGATTAATCCAGGTCAACCTAAACAGGGAAATGATGCACTGATTCGATCTCGTAGAAATACTGAAACCAAGAAAGACTATTGGGGGAATGATTATTTTAATAGTTAAAGTCAGTTTAGGACAAGATGGGGGATTCAAGATACCATTCGACTTCTCCCATGAAGAGATAGGAGGTTTTGGGGGCTTTGGTAAGAAGGGGGCGTGTACATGAAAGTTGGGCAAGGGTGTTTAAACATACCTGGGGAACATACTATGAGAATGGAATGGAATAAATAGCACTAAACCACCAAGGGTATAATATTTCCTCTTGCAGGAAATGAACCAAGGAGAAGTAGAAGGAATTTCAAATGAGAACTTCTGGGTAAGGTGGATTAACTACACAGCTAGGGCGTTGGGTCAAACTAATTGTTATGCCTGTTCAACAGGTAGGCCAACCCTTGTAACTGTACCTATGCCTCAGACCATGTTCTCTTGTGTGATAGATTTGGGATCAAACCAAACCTCACCTAATTGTTCTGATATTAAAATAACCACTCTTAAAAAGGATAATACTAAGGCACCCCAATTCACCATGAACCCCAGAGATGATCAATGTTATAGACACCAAAGTAATGCGAATCACAGATCAAATTGGAGAAGGGTTTACAACAACGTTTTTCTGGTGGGTTACAATTGATAAAAATGTTGACTGGATTAATTACATCTACAAAGGTTTGTTAATTAGACAAGGGATGCAGTGAAGAGAATCTCAGGCCAACTATCCGCCACCTCACTCATGACCTGCAGAATAGTTTGGTTCTCGAAATGCTTTTAGCAGAGAAGGGCGGATTTTCAAGATGGTGGGAGGTCATTGTTGTATGTTTATCCCCAACAATACAGCCCCAGATGGTACAGTAACTAGAGCACTGGCAGGTCTCACTGCATTAAGTAAAGAATGGGCTGAGAACTGGGGGATGAATACATCAATGACTGGTTGGTTTGATAAAATGTTTGGTAAATGGAAAACTATTGTTGTAACTATTTTAGGCGCGGCAATCGCGTCTATGGGTATGCTTGTTCTTTGTGGATGTTGTCTTATTCCCTGAGTCCGAGGATTGGTGAGCAAGGCGTTGGAGCAGTATCACAGCAGATGGTGAGATACGGCCCAATCCCGGACTCCGACCTAAGGAATGAAGAATATGACCCACCAGGCTTGGTGGAGGACGACGGCGATTCAGATAGTTTGAGACTGGATGTTTACCTAGAACTATAAATCTCTAGTTTAAAAGTTATTGTAATGATATTTTGTGTATTAAAGTCTTGTTTTAAGTATGGTGTACTAGTTAACTGATGTTGCAGGATGTGATGAAGCAAACGTTCTTCACTATAGGCTTAGACTGTTGTTTCCAGATAGTGGGTAAACAGGTTAGGTACCATTGCTGATTAACCTTTATTGAATGAGACAATGTTTTATGTTTTTATATGCAAACCAACTTATATGCTTCAATGGGTGGATTGATAGATTAATTATTAATGACTAATTATTACACCCTGAAACTGTGTGAAATGTGTTAGAATGTGTGAGTGTAGGACCAGTAAAGATTATGACATTGTGTTACTATTTAGCAATGTGAGTAAGAGTTAGGCCAGACAACAAAGGACAAGGAGAACTGTCTACAGGCAACTGATAACTGAGGAATTAAGGGAGGAGAGAAACTGTTAGGCTTTTTAAGGAGTATGCAGGATATTGTGAGGACGGCGATAACTAAGGAATGCATGTGTGTGTATGTATGTGTGTGTGTGTGTATGTATGTGTGTATGCATGTGTGTGTGTGTGTGTGTATGTGTGTGTGTGTGTGTGTGTGTGTATGTATGCGTGTGTGTGTGTGTGTGTATGTGTGTGTGTGTGTGTGTGTGAACTGATGGTCAGGAGAGCAGTTTTAAAGTGGAAAACTACAGCCCGCCTACAGAGAGGAGGGATTTTTGTATGACGTATGAGTATAAAAGATGGACTCTGAAATTGTGATGGCAGAATTCTCAATGAATAAATCTCTGACTATGCAGACCGGGACTCTGTCCGTTACTTAAATCCCAAAAGACTTACAACCTTTTGGGAGACGCACAGACACACTGAAATAGTTTGTTAAATAATTCACATAACAATTATGAACTTTGAAAGAACTGGAAGGCTACACTAGTAGGCTACACAATTACAGAAGGGTTGTTCTCTGAACCTCATGCAGCAGGCTCAAGCAAGCCTGTTTATCTCTCATGTCAGAGGCATCCTGCTTCTCTCGACTCTGACAAGCAGCGGCAACCTATCCTCCTTATTTATGTTTAGAAACACATTTGATTGCCAGCATTGTGGGGGGAAAACACTCATGTTCATACAATCTAATAATCACCCTGAGAATACTTCCAGAACCACCTTTATATTTTATTTCAATTGAGAAAATCTACAAAATAAATTGGCCTACCCTAGTCTTTATTGATGTAGATGCATGCATGGGCGCAACTTTGGTTTTAGAAGTGGGGTAGGCCTACCCGACCGCTCGGAGGCGTACACATGGTCCTAAAGCACACTGTTGCCTCGTTTTGTATCACATTCCAATGATAAAACTGGGGGGGACAAAAATGCAATTTCAGAATGTGGGGGGGACGTAAAGTTGCACCCCTGGATGCATGTGACATTACACAGCAGTAAGCTGGTTTATTTCACCTTTATACATTTTTTTCTTCTTGATTTCAATATGTAAGGGACACCAGGTACTGTTTCTTGATGAGTAAAAGGTATTCTTATACCATATTTTTGTGTAACAATAGTTAAGTTCATTCAATTGGCGGGGGTGAGACTGAAGAAGTTTGGGAAGCACTGATCTAGCTAACGATTAGCACAAATACAGATGGGCAACCGTTCAGCCTATTTATTTATAGCCACTATGCCGCATCAGTTGGGTTACAGGTGATAATGCTTATTGCTAAATAACACACCAGCCTGATAATATGGACCAATATGTTGTTAGGCTAATTTTTGGAGGGGGAAATTATATTTTAATGGTATCACCATTTTATTGTCATTAATTTTGGAGTATAGAAAACTCACCAGAGCTGTGTTCAGTACGAAAAAACGTAATGCAAAATTCAATTAAACGGAAATGGTGCTGTTCTGAATGACCAGTTGAAAAACGGGGAGGGGTTGGGTTGTGGGTTCATAATTCACTGCTGCCCTTCAAATATTTAACTCATTGCTTCAAGCCACACCCACCAAATGGAGCAAACGTAGGCTACCTCAAAGTCTGTTCAATAATGTTGAAGAACGTTTTGGGGAAGCATTCAATTGAACTGACCGCAGCCCCAGAACTGACTTTCTCACAGTCGTTCTACAAAAACTTGCCAATGTAAAGGGTGTCACGCTGCTTGCTTAGCGAGTACCACTTTCTCCCGATTCGGCCCATACCTGCCGCGAACTCGGGACCTCTGCCTTGCTAGCACACGTGACCACCCTCCTGAAGCGTCTTACCAGTCAGTGCCACGCGAAAAACTAGCTATTCGCTGGTGCAAGTGGGGACAGTTCAGACATGTGCTACTCCAAGCGTGGTTACTTTCTGAACTGTTAGAGTTAAACCAACAGTTTAAAGTAATAAATACATTATTTCAGTTGTGGTTGGTTGGGATAAATTGACCAAAACATCAGGAAAGTTTTATATGTAGAGAGAGAGAGTTTTTATCTATATTTTTCGTAGCCGTCTATTTACCACCACAAACCGATGCTGGCACTAAGACCGCACTCAACGAGCTGTATAAGGCCATAAGCAAACAAGAAAATGCTCATCCAGAAGCGGAGCGGCCGGGGACTTTAATGCAGGCAAACATAAATCTGTTTTACCTCATTTCTACCAGCAAGTCACATTTGCAACCATAGGAGAAAAAAAAACTCTAGACCACCTTTACTCCACACACAGAGACAAAGAAAGCTATTCAAAGAGACTATACACAGAGACTATACAAAGCTCTCCCTCGCCCTCCATTTGGCAAATCTGACCATAATTCTATCCTCCTGATTCCTGCTTACAAAGAAAAACTAAAGCAGGAAGTACCAGTGACTCACTCAATACGGAAGTGGTCAGATGACGCAGATGCTACGCTACAGGACTGTTTTGCTAGCAACAGGACTGTTTTGCTAGCACAGACTGGAATATGTTCCGGGATTCAGCCAATGGCATTGAGGAGTATACCACCTCAGTCACCGGCTTCATCAATAAGTGCATCGATGACGTCGTCCCCACAGTGACCGTACATATCCCTACCAGAAGCCATGGATTACAGGCAACATCCGCACCGAGCTAAAGGCTAGAGCTGCCGCTTTCAAGGAGCGGGACACTAATCCGGATGCTTATAAGAAATCCCGCTACGAACCATCAAACAGGCAAAGCGTCAATTCAGGACTAAGATTGAATCCTACTACACTGGCTCTGACGCTCGTTGGATGTGGCAGGGCTTGCAAACTATTACGGACTACAAAGGGAAACCCAGCCGCGAGCTGCCCAGTGATGCGAGCCTACCAGACGAGTTAAATGCCTTTCATGCTCACTTCGAGGCAAGCAACACTGAAGCATGCATGAGAGCATCAGCTGTTCCAGACGACCATGTGATCACGCTCTCCGTAGCTGATGTGAGCAAGATCTTTAAACAGGTCAACATTCACAAGGCCGCGGGGCTAGATGGATTACCAGGGCGTGTACTCAGAGCATGCGCGGACCAAATGGCAAGTGTCTTCACTGACATTTTCAACCTCTCCCTGACTGAGTCTGTAATACCTACATGTTTCAAGCAGACCACTATAGTACCTGTGCCCAAGAAAGCGAAGGTAACCTGCCTAAATGACTACCGCCCTGTAGCACTCACGTCGGTAGCCATGAAGTGCTTTGAAAGGCTGGTCATGGCTCACATCAACACCATCATCCCGGAAACCCTAGATCCACTCCAATTCGCACAGCGCTCCAACAGATCCACAGATGACGCAATCTCAAATCGCACTCCACACTGTCCTTTCCCACCTGGACAAAAGGAAAACCTATGTTAGAATGCTGTTCATTGACTACAGCTCAGCGTTCAATCCCATAGTGCCCACAAAGCTCATCACTAAGCCTGGGACTAAACACCTCCCTCTGCAACTGGATCTTGGACTTCCTGATGGGCCGCCCCCAGGTGGTAAGGGTAGGCAACAACACATCTGCCACGCTGATCCTCAACAGGGGGGCCCCTCAGGGGTGCGTGATCAGTCCCCTCCTGTACTCCCTGTTCACCCACGACTGCGTGGCCAAGCACGACTCCAACACCATCATTAAGTTTGCTGGCGACACAACAGTGGTAGGCCTGATCACCGACAACGATGAGACAGCCTATAGGGAGGAGGTCAGAGACCTGGCAGTGTGGTGCCAGGACTACAACCTCTCCCTCAATGTGAGCAAGACAAAGGAGCTGATCATGGACTACAGGAAAAGGAGGGTCGAACATGCCCCCATTCACATCGACGGGGCTGTAGTGGAGCGTGTCGAGAGTTTCAAGTTCCTTGGTGTCCACATCACCAACAAACTATCATGGTCCAAACACACCAATACAGTCGTGAAGAGGGCACGACAACACCTTTCCCCCCTCAGGAGACTGAAAATATTTGGCATTGGTCCCCAGATCCTCAAAACGTTCTACAGCTGCACCATCGAGAGCATCCTGACCGGTTGCATCACCGCCTGGTATGGCAAATGCTCGGCATCCGACCGTAAGGCGCTACAGAGGGTAGTGCGTACGGCCCAGTACATATCTTCCACCATCCAGGACCTATATACTAGACGGTGTCAGAGGAAGGCCGAAAAATAGTCAAAGACTCCAGTCACCCAAATCATAGACTTGCATAGTCACTTTACCCCTACCTACATGTACAAATTACCTTGACTAACCTGTACCCCCGCACATTGACTCGGTACCGGTCCCCTCTGTATATAGCCTCGTTATTGTTATTTGATTGTGTAACTTTTTGTTTTTTTACTTTAGTTTATTTAGTAAATATTTTCTTAACTCTATTTCTTGAACTGCATTGTTGGTTAAGGGCTTGTAAGTAAGCATTTCACGGTAAGGTCTACACCTGTTGTATTCTGCGCATGTGACAAATAACATTTGATTTGATTTGTATTTTCCCTTCAAAAATCACCAGAAACAACAATTTCACCCCCTTCAAGGGTGTTGACCATGTAACCCATTAACCATGACCCCCCCAATATGCAACACAAAGTTATGCCCTTAGGGACAGACCGAAATGTATTGTGGGGGAGGGGTGTTTCAAAATAGGGGAGGGTTGTCAAACCTTTTTTTTGCTTTGTTGAGGGTTGTGTTTTTTTTTTTTTGTGGCACAGGGGAGGGTAGTGCGTTTTTTCCCAGGTTTACATTTGCTCTTCTGCTCGTATTTTCCCTATAAACAATGGCGTAGCTTACTTTTGATATTACCCTAATAAAGTTTAGAATGTTTGGTATGGTGTTTGTGAATGTTTGGTATGGTGTGGCTATTATTAAGCTTTAGCTACTGCAGGCCTATGATATGAAGGTTGAACTTGATTGAGGTGAAGAAGCCTGTTTCAGGCCTACCAGAGTTACTCCTATAACCTAACAATATAATGCTTATCTTTATACAAAATATTTGGATAGAAAATGTACGAATTACCCTCATTCTGTACGTTTATATCAGTATAGCAGACGCAGTAGCCATGTCAGTGTCGTAGCATGCCACCGGCATATCTCTATCTCTCTGGGGTTAGGCCTAAGCTTCTCTTCCTTTATATAGGCTATATACAGTGCATTCGGAAAGTATTCAGAACCCTTCACTTTTTCCACATTTTGTTACGTTACAGCCTTATTGTCAAATTGATTAAACTGTTTTTTCCCCCATCAATCTACATGCCATACCCCATAATAACAAAACAAAAACAGGTTATGAATTTTTGCAAATTTATAAAATAAAATAAACTGAAATATTATATTTACATAAGTATTCAGACCCTTTACTCAGTACTTTGTTAAAGCACCTTTGGTAGCGATTACAGCCTAGAGTCTTCTTGGGTATGACGCTACAAGCTTGGCAAACCTGTATTTGGGGGGGTTCTCACATTCTTCTCTGCAGATCCTCTCAAGCTCTGTCAGGTTGGATGGGGAGCGTCGCTGCACAGCTATGTTCAGGTCTCTCCAGAGATGTTAGATCGGGTTGAAGTCCGGGCTCTGGCTGGGCCACTCAAGGACATTCAGAGACTTGTCCCGAAGCCACTCCTGCGTTGTCTGGGCTGTGTGCTTAGGGTCGTTGTCCTGTTGGATGGTAAACCTTCGCCCCAGTCTGAGGTCCTGAGTGCTCTGGAGAAGGTTTTCATCAAGGATCTCTCTGTACTTTGCTCCTTTCAGCTTTCCCTCGATCCTGACTAGTCTCACAACCCCTGCTGCTGAAAAACATCCCCACAGCATGATGCTGCCACCACCATGCTTCACTGTAGGGATGGTGCCAGGTTTCCTCCAGACGTGACGCTTGGCATTCAGGCCAAAGAGTTCAATCTTGGTTTCATCAGACCAGAGAATCTTGTTTCTCATGGTCTGAGAGTCCTTTAGGTGCCTTTTGGCAACCTCCAAGAGGGCTGTCATGTGCCGTTTACTGAGGAGTGGCTTCCGTCTGGCCACTCTACCATAAAGGTCTGATTGGTGGAGTGCTGCAGTGATGGTTGTCCTTCTGTAAGGTTCTCCCATCTCCACAGAGGAACTCTGGAGCTCTGTCAGAGCGACCATCGGGTTCTTGGTCACCTCACCTTTTGGTGCCCTTCCCCAGATCTGTGCCTCGACACAATCCTGTCTCGGAACTCTACAGAGAATTCCTTCGACCTCATGGCTTGGTTTATGCTCTGACATGCACTGTCAACTGTGTGACCTTATACAGACAGGTGTGTGCCTTTCCAAATCATGTCCAATCAATTGAATTTACCACAGCTGGACTCCAATCAAGTTGTAGAAACATCTCAAGGATGATCAATGGAAACAGGATGCAGCTGAGCTCAATTTCGAATCTCATAGCAAAGGGTCTGAATACTTATGTAAATAATGTGTTTCTGTTCTTGATTTTTTTAAATTCTTAAAAACCTTTGTTCGCTTTATCATTATGGGGTATTTAGTGTAGATTGACGAGGGGGGGAAATCATTTAATCCATTTTAGAATAAGGCTGTAACGTAACAAAATGTGGAAAAAGTCAAGGGGTCTGAATACTTTCCGACTGCACTGTATATAAACTCATCAAAAAAAGATAAGTCCTCTCACTGTCAACTGCGTTTATTTTCAGCAAACTTAACGTGTCAATATTTGTATGAACTGTGGCGTACAGCAGGTCAGCCACCAGGGGGAGACTTGTCGAGGCCTGGTAACAGATGGAGTATACATCACGAGGAAGTGGCTCCATCTACTGGACATGCCAGGTCTCCCCGGACGGGACTAATTGGGGCTAATTGGGAGCTGGTGAGTAATTAAGGGAGAATTGCTCACCAGCTGTGCAAGGCCCATAAAGCTGCCAGAAGGGCAGCACATGAGAGAGGACTGGGGGAAGTAAGGTAACTTCCGTGTAGTTGGAGACGGTATCCTGGAGAGGGTCTCATGGGGGAGACCTAACTTTTTGATTATTTTATTAATAAACACCCTTGAAACCGAGCTGATCATACTCTGTCCGTGTCTGATCTGTGTAAACGTCTTGACCCAACCCCCTAATCTGCCACAGAACATAACAAGATTCAACAACTGAGACAAACTGAACAAGTTCCACAGACATGTGACTAACAGAAATTGAATAATGTATCCCTGTGGCCACCAGCTGCATTAAGTACTGCAGTGCATCTCCTCCTCATGGACTGCACCAGATTTGCCAGTTCTTGCTGTGAGCTGTTACCCCACTCTTCCACCAAGGCACCTGCAAGTTCCCAGACATTTCTGGGGGGAATGGCCCTAGCCCTCACCCTCCGATCCAACAGGTCCCAGATGTGCTCAATGGGATTGAGATCCGGGCTCTTCGCTGGCCATGGCAGAACACTGACATTCCTGTCTTGCAGGAAATCACGCACAGAACGAGCAGTATGGCTGGTGGCATTGTCATGCTGGAGGGTCATGTCAGGATGAGCCTGCAGGAAGGGTACCACATGAGGGAGGAGGATGTCTTCCCTGTAACGCACAGCGTTGAGATTGCCTGCAATGACAACAAGCTCAGTCCGATGATGCTGTGACACACCGCCCCAGACCATGACGGACCCCCCACCTCCAAATCGATCCCGCTCCAGAGTACAGGCCTCGGTGTAACGCTCATTCCTTCAACGATAAAAGCGAATCCGACCATCACCCGTGGTGAGACAAAACCACAACTCGTCAGTGAAGAGCACTTTTTGCCAGTCCTGTCTGGTCCAGCGACGGTGGGTTTGTGCCCATAGGCGATGTTGTTGCCGGTGATGTCTGGTGAGGACCTGCCTTACAACAGGCCTACAAGCCCTCAGTCCAGCCTCTCTCAGCCTATTGCGGACAGTCTGAGCACTGATGGAGGGATTGTGCGTTCCTGGTGTAACTCTGGGAGTTGTTGTTGCCATCCTGTACCTGTCCCGCAGGTGTGATGTTCAGATGTACCGATCCTGTGCAGGTGTTGTTACACGTGGTCTGCCACTGCGAGGACGATCAGCTGTCCGTCCTGTCTCCCTGTAGCGCTGTCTTAGGCGTCTTACAGTACGGACATTGCAATTTATTGCCCTGGCTACATCTGCAGTCCTCATGCCTCCTTGTAGCATGCCTAAGGCACGTTCACGCAGACGAGCAGGGACCCTGGGCATCTTTCTTTTGGTGTTTTTCAGAGTCTGTAGAAAGGCCTCTTTAGTGTCCTAAGTTTTCATAACTGTGACCTGAATTGCCTACCGTCTGTAAGCTGTTAGTGTCTTAACGACCATTCCACAGGTGCATGTTCATTAATTGTTTATGGTTCATTGAACAAGCATGGGAAACAGTGTTTAAACCCTTTACAATTAAGATCTGTGAAGTTATTTGGATTTTTACAAATTATCTTTGAAAGACAGGGTCCTGAAAAAGGGACGTTTCTTTTTTGGCTAAGTTTATATATATTTATTAAAATATTAATATCATACAGTGGATACCTAAGCCTATAGGCCTTTGCATGCAATGCCCTGATGCATTTAGTGCTCAAATCTCTGACAGCTGAACCATGAGGTGGACAATTATTGTTTTAGAAAGTAGCCTAAAAAAAAAACTTAAAAATAGGCTATAAAGTTTTGCATATGCTACACATCGAAACACAAGGAATGGTGTTTTTGTAATTTGTTATAGGCGATTTTTAAGGACACGTAAATGTGGCTGATTTGGCCAACATCCCTCGTTTATTGATGGCGCTGGCTGCACCAGGTTGGTTCTGAATGCATTTGGATGTCCATAACATTTCTCAAATGACCAGTAAATTAAAATCTTCCCTGTCATGTTGTCCGGCGCCAAATTTTCCTCAAGGAAACTCTGAAATGGCATATTGTTTTTATGAAGATTTTAGAATATTCACATGAAAATCTGTCGCCAATTGGATGGAAACCTATCTATAATCACCCTAAAGGCAAGTGTGCTAGTCCAGTCTCACTGATTATGCCTACATTCGGAGATTGTCAAGTTAAGGCTTCGACACTGGGTAAGTTTACAAGTTAGGGACTGATCTATTTTCTGTTTATCGAGATTGACATAGTCTATTTATTGTTCTGTTGAAAACGCAAACCATGATATTGAAGTGCTCGAAGTCAGTATGCTTTGTTTATTGGTTGGCACAGAAATCTGTTGGTGGACAATGTTGTTGCATATATTTTATATAATTATAAATATGGCATAACATTTTGAAAATCAGATTTCCCCTGGCTAATCATTGTCTGCAGCCGGCTCTGATCGTAGTGTAATGAAACAGGCAGGGAGAGTGAACTAGTCTGTGGTGGTCAGTGAACCCTCAACCTTCTGGCCAGTAGCCCTGCGTGGCATCGACTGTGCCACAAAAGTGGCAAAGTCGATATCCACGTTTATAAACACAGGGTCGCTACAGTTATTGTTATTTGTGGTTGTAAACATTATTTTTAGTTTATTCTATGGAGGGGGAAGGTGTTCAATTTATTTTACAGTATAAGGGGAGGGGTCATGTGAAAATATGTTTTATTTTGGGGAGGGGGGTGTATATATTTTTTTTATGACACCTTGAGTTGGATCAGCCCCTCCCCCTTGCATGAAGCTTGATTTAGGATAACATGTGATACGTTTTGCTACTGGTGGATATGTATCCTTTCTTTTTATTGACCTGTAAACGACCTAGTCACAATCGCTAATTAATGTTTATCAATTCATTGTCCTTAAGATAGGACCCATAAATTCAACGCCAGGCCGATGAAAGGAGTCATGGGTAACTGCATACGTGGAGTGTCAACCGAAGTGGGCGGATTAACCGAAGTGGGCGTATTTCAAGCAAATCAGATAATTGGGCAGATTTGTTGTCACTCAAGACCATTTTGCGTGGCTGCTTGGTATGCGCTTTCAAAGTTTATGTGAGTCTTCGTCATGGTCGCCATTGTTAACTTTTTACCACCAAATGAGCTACTTTGAAAACGATGTCGCGGGTGAAAATGGATTGGTCGCGGGTGGCAGGTTTTTCTGCTACTAAATTGCACCTCGGCCGCCATGGCATTTCTCTTTTTAAAAAATCTATATATTTCACTGTTACCTGCTGCTATCTGGCAGTGACCATGCAGGCTCTTACTGAGTGAGTGTGTGAGTGAGTAATTGAGTAATTGAGTGAGTAATTGAGTAATTGAGTAATTGAGTGAATGAATGGTGTGGAGGGCCGGAGGGGGTAGTGTGCATTGAGAGCACTGGTTGAAAGAGTGCTGCAGTTATCAATTTTGATCATGGTCACAGCTCTATTGCAAATGTATAATTCTCCACATTTAATGTCAGTTTCATTGTGGACTTTTCCCTGAAATTAGATGTTGGCCTATCTGGGGCTATATGCATCTAGCTTAGCAAACCATGGCAAAGTTGAATTGCAATTATAAACCCAGATTTTAGTCAGTAGCCTATGCCTATTGAAATAAATACACTACCAGTCAAGTTTGGACACACCTACTCATTCAAGGTTTTATTTATTTATTTTTAATATGTTCTACATTGTAGAATAATAGTGAAGACATCAAAACTATTAAATAACACATATGGAAACATGTAGTAACCAAAAAAGTGTTAAACAAATCAAAATATGTTTTATATTTGAGATTCTTCAAATAGCCACCCTTTGACTTGATGACAGCTTTGCACACGCTTGGCAATCTCTCAACCACCATCACCTGGAATGCTTTTCCAACCGTCTTGAAGGAGTTCCCACATTTGCTTAGCACTTGATGGCTGCTTTTCCTTCACTCTGCCGTCCGACTCATCCCAAACCATCTCAATTGGGTTGAGGTCAGGGGATTGTATAGGCCAGGTCATCTGATGCAGCACTCCATCACTCTCCTTCTTGGTAAGATAGCCCTTACACAGCCTGGAGGTGTGTTGGGTCATTGTCCTGTTGAAAAACAAATGATAGTCCCACTAAGCCCAAACCAGATGGGATGGCGTATCGCAGCAAAATGCTGTGGTAGCCATGCTGGTTAAGTGTGCCTTGAATTCTAAATAAATCACAGACAGTGTCACCAGCAAAGCAACCCCACACCATAACACCTCCTCCTCCATGCTTTATGGTGAGAAATACACATGCGGAGATCATCCGTTCACCGACACCGCGTCTCACAAAGACACAGCGGTTGGAACCAAAAATCTCAAATTTGTACTCGAGACCAAAGGACAAATTTCCACCGGTCTAATGTCCATTGCTCGTGTTTCTTGGCCCAAGCAGGTCTCTTCTTATTGGTGTCCTTTACTAGTGGTTTCTTTGCAGCAATTCGACAATGAAGGCCTGATTCACACAGTCTCCTCTGAACAGTTGATGTTGAGATGTGTCTGTTACTTGAACTCTGTGAAGCATTTATTTGAGCTGCAATTTCTGAGGCTGGTAACTAATGAACTTATCCTCTGCAGCAGAGGTAACTCTGGGTCTTCCATTCCTGTGGCGGTCCTCATGAGAGCCAGTTTCACTATAGCGCTTCATGGTTTTTGCGACTGCACTTGAAGAAACTTTCAAATTTCTTGACATTTTCCGTATTGACTGATCTTCATGTCTTAAAATAATGATGGACGGTCATTTCTCTTTGCTTATTTGAGCTGTTCTTGCCATAATATGGACTTGGTCTTTTACCAAATAGGGATATCTTCTGTATACCACCCTTACCTTGTCACAACACAACTGATTGGCTCAAATGCATTAAGGAAAGCAATTCTACAAATTCACTTTTAACAAGGCACACCTGTTAATTGAAATGCATTCCAGGTGACTACCTCATGAAGCTGGTTGAGAGAATGCCAAGAATTACAGAATTTTTGCAGCTGAAAATCATGATTTTATCATATGATTTTATCATATTTGTGGTAATAAATCACAGATTCCAAGGTCAATTAGCTACAGGACAATATTTCTACCTATTTAATTACACAAAAACAAATACACCACCTCCAACCCCCCTGTAGTAACAAAACTTCACATTTTTACACACATGCACATACCAGCATACAATCCTTTCTAAAACGTAAAATTCACAATGTTTGCAAGGTATACTACACAATAACTTTGAATAACATCATCATGGGGTACACAGAAATGTTTTAGGCAGCACTAAAAAGTCAGGGCAGGCCAGGGCTCATGATTGGAGTATTCATTGCAGTGTGTAATGAGGTGTAGCCTAGTTTGTTTTACATTATCCCAGCAGGGCAAAAGACTCGGGGCTGAGACAAAATCATACCGGGTTAAAGCCCCGAAGGCCCGGGTCTGGTGACGTCAATGCCATGTACCACAGGAATTACACAAAAAAACTTTTTTTACTGTTCTAATTACGTTGTTTTATAATAGCAATAAGGCACCTCAAGGGTTTGTGGCATATACCACACCTCATCGGGCATTATTGCTTAATTATAGCAGTCAAAACCAGTTAAATCGACATCCATTGATGGAAAATGATCTGGAGAGTTGAATAAGAGCGATTTACCTTTTATTTGAACATATTCTTAAACTCGCAAGAATTATAATTGATGGAAAATCGAATTTCGCTTCTTAGCCTATGTCGTTAAAAATGACGTACATATTCCTTAATTCGCTCGATAACGTTATGGAAAAGGGTTTATTAGATAAATGTGGCAACCAGACCCGTCGCCAGACCTCAGTCTTAAGGGGGGCATATGAAATGCATGGGAGGGCAGGGCACAATAATTATTAGCCTACAGTACGTATATTTAATAATAAATTCCCTCAAGTGTGTGTGTGGGGGGGCACAAGCATAGCGACGGGTGTGGTGGCAACTCCTCTCTTCATGCGAAAAACATTTATTTTTAGCTAGACCCGTCAACCCTTCCCATACTTGGATGAAAGAGTAGCAGAAATTAACCGAGGCACTGTGATTAACCGAGGCACTGTGATTAATGTGGGATTCATTTTACCTGCATCGCATGGCTCTTATCTGCATATCCCTTCACGAACAGCCAATACACCGTCGTGGCCAAACTTGGTCCACGTAGATCGTCTATTGTTTTGTACTTCTCCGGAGTTGTTTCTATCGTTGTCTGCAAATGTTGTCCTAATTGTCTGCTGGCTCCGGACTTGAACCTCCGACCACCAGACACAAAGCCGTCCAGCGCCACTGAAAGTGTCTGGCGGTGGTGAACTGTGAATCGGAGCAGCCTGGTCACCGCAGCAGGGCTACACATGTTGAGTGGCGCGCGTAAAGGCGCATTCTGCCAACTGCGGCTTTTTAGTACACTTGCCCTGCTGCACATTGGGACTTGCCCATAAGTAGGCTGGACGTGTAATAAATAAACATCCGCACCTCGATTGTGTCTACTGTGCTTATGTCTGCGTATTGAGGAAGTAGGGAAATAATGAAAACTTCTGACTATTTCTGGTGTAGTGATCGATGACAACCGAGCTCGCTGCCCAGACATAATTACAAAGAGGAGATTCTCCTGATTAAAATGGTGTCACAATGTGAGATATTTGGCGAAATACCCCTATAGGAAACAATGGGACGACCTCAGAGTTCCATGAGTAAAAATATAATTTTGAAGTTTTAACTACCAGCAATTGATCACAGCATACTATGCTACCCACATTTACATCATTAGAAAGAATAGATTATCCTGAATTAAATGGCGTAGAACTTCAAAACTTCAAAACATCAAAATACATCAATTTTGAGTTATTCGGTGAAATAAAGACATTGTCATTATGTTGGGGAAATAGGGATGTCTAAAAAGCGCAGTCTTTTATTTAATCTGCTTACTTGTTAAAAAAGCAAACACTGTAAAGCCTCAAAACATGATTAAAACTATAATTTTGTCAGTCCTCCATCCATAACTTGCATAGCGGGAGGCAGGTAGCCCAAAGGTCGCTGTTTCGAATTCCCGAGCCGACTAGGCGAAACATTATGTCGATGTGCCATTGAGCACCTGTAAATCGCTCTGGATAAGGCCATTTGCTAAATAAAATAACTCTGTCTATACATTTTTGTGGTTACATTTCTCCAGCCCCATTCCAGCTTTTTACCAAAACAGTGTCGGAAGTACACTTTGTTATTGTTTCAACTGCTGATTGGCGTTTTAATGGGGTGTGACTTTGGCAGATAATGTTACCCATCTTTAGAAAGTAAAAATAAAAAAAAAACGAAATGTATGGTGTTAATTGTTATGCTGTAAATGGCTATTTTATGGTTGTAAGTGATATAATTTTTTATTTAATTTTTTACTTATTGTATATTTTGCAATTCAGAGTAATTACTTACTTCAGTAAGGATATACACTTTATTCAGTGACCTTAGGTATAGAAACTGATGGTCAGATCAGTGCATGGCTTCGAAAAAATGCTTTTCAATTGCCAAATAATTCCAATAGATGGCAGCATAAGACCACGAATGAAATCATCTCAGAAGCTCTGTTTTCTCCCTGGATACACAACTCCCCATGTGCTATTAGTACAAATAAACATAACTGCTTATTTGGTTGAAGCTAACTATTTTACAGTGAGAACGAGGTAAGTTATTGGAAAATAAATTACAAATAATCTAGTATTTTCTGTATTTCGGGCCACATAATTCGAAACTATTTTATTTCAATCAGTGACGTAGGTTGGTTCATCTTGTAGACAGGAAGTGATATTTATTCGCTCTGGCCAACAGGGTCTTGTATGCTAACGTTAGCTATTTGGTTCCAGCCGGTTGCAACCCCAGTGAACATTGGGCCTTTTTAGCTAGCTGCTCGCCGTTATTAATCATGTAAAAAGACAATCAATAATATCAATCGTGTAAGCACATGGAAATACTTTTTTTGCGAAACATTGAGGTATTTATTTCATGATTTAAAAGTGTCTGGCAGTAAGTGACGGACTGTGAAACTCAATCTCCCATGATTCCGTAGTACCTGAACGGACGTTTTATAATTTGTACCGGAACTGACCGTTGTGTTGGATACCGCACTCAATTTAAAAAAACAATAACTGCATAGAATACATAACATATAACAGAATAAACTATTTTGCCTTTTAATTAGATCGTTGAAGGTGTAGCTAGTTTATTTATGGTGTGTGTCCAATAGAAATATGATTACATAGCTACACAGGTGTCTGCACATTTTAAACTGTAATTCTCTTTTTGCTGTCTGTATACCAATTGTGTAAATATGAATATACATCTAGTTCATAAATAATAATACCCGCTTTGTTCGCACCTGAGATGTTCATGAATTAAAACAGATAAATAACAAAAATGTGTGTTCAACTGTGGAGGCTTTGCCTTTTGCTTTTGCACGATATAACGTAGTTCCCACGTTAATGAAACTCAACCATCCACAATGTATATACCAATATACTTCTATCATGTGTGAATCTACTATATATATATATATATATATATATATATATTTGATTGTCTCAGTATATGATCACACATTTTGATACTTTCTTTTCTATGTTAACATACAATAATGTTTATGTTCAACCAAATAGAGAAATGAGCTTGAGCAAAGAGAGGGATGCGGCATGGGTGGCATTTGAGGAGGCTCTTCGAGAAAGCTAACGCACAGCATTACAATGTAGATGTAAGTGATATTTCTTCCCATTTCCCCAGTATATTTTTAGGGCAGTTGAATTGTGGGTACATACCACAATGTTGGTGTGTTGTAATTTTAATCACCCATTCTATGTTTGATTTGAATAAATACTTTAGGATCAGAAGGAGCAAGCTGCAAAGTGACAGTCACCTGCTCATGCCACTAGCCTTGTCCCTGTCCAATGGATAGAGAGGGACAGCAGAGGCAACATAATTCACAAAAGACCTGGACAAAAAAGACATGGTAGGTGTTATGTACCTATTTAGTTGTGTGTTTGTTTATGCATGTAAAGTGTAACCATTTTTTCTAAATAGATAACATATGCCAGTCCTGGCTGCCTCATGTTAGTTGTATATTATTGCAATCAAAAGTCACTGCGGAGGACATGGACTATACCGGAACAGGTGACCATATTGCAGCTAATGGTGGGGGTCAGACCTTTGACCCTTAAACAGGGTTTCCCAACCCTCTCCACTGGCTCCCCCAGAAGTTTCAAATTGTAGTTTTAACCCTAAATTGCCACACCTGATTTAATTATTCAAAGGCTTGATGATTAGTTGACTAATTGAACCATGTGTGCCAGTTAAGGGTTAAAACAAAAATGTAAAATGTCTGAAGGGGCCAAGGAGAGGTTTGGGAAACCCTGCCCTAAAGGAACCACAAGGTAGATGCCAAGAGTGAGATCTCCCTTGGGGGATTTCTTAATAGACTTATCAAAGCTAGGATCGTTACACTACTCCCTCGGTTCAGAAAACACAACCTGTGCTTCTCTATCACAAATCCCCCACACCATAACAGGACATGCTTTTGACCCTCATACACTATCCTACTTCTGCTCGTCAGAGTAGGAAATGGTAGGAGGGGGAATTGACCTGAGGTAGGCTTGAAGCCAATGCTGGTAAAATGAGCTGATAAATTCTCAGAAAATAGACAGTTTGTGCATTGTTACCGACTCTGGAATTGTGAAGTGCAGGTTAGCATTTTTCATCATGAATCTTGTTCTGGAGGCAGCTCTGCAGAGTGGTGACTAGCTAGCACAGCCACAAAGTCATAAAATCAGATTTTAAACCTAACCACACTGCTAACCCTAATGCCTAACCCTAACTTAAGACCAAAAAGCTTATTTCTAATGTCATTAATTTGTACAATATAGCCAGCTGGCATATCTAAGGGGAAATCCTGACAATTACGCTGGCATACACTACACTGTCTATGTGAATTAACGCTTACTGCTGTCGCACGTGGTTGACGGAGTCCCCAGTGTTATTTCTGCTTAAGATTCAGCTTTCTCGCTTACATGCCCTGATTGGGATCAGTTCCCTCCTCCATGGTGACCACGGTCACCTGCTCCTCTATCACCACGGGCCCCTCCTCAACTGCCTCCTCCATGGTGACCATGGTCACCTGCTCCGCCATCACCACGGGCCCCTCCTCAGCTGCCTCCTCTATGGTGACAACGGTCACCTTCTCCGCCTCCTCCATCACCACGGGCCCCTCCTCAGCTGCCTCCTCCTGGTTGGCTGGCTCACAAGCCGATACTGAAAACCATGCATACTATAAAGTAATAAACTTTTGTGGTGGAAACAAATGTCATATTTCATTACCATACAATTACACATTTTCAAAATAAAAAATGACACATACAACAGTATTTGCAATGTTTCAAATAATTTGATTGCAAATGTGACTGGGGCCTTGTATAAACTTGTTAGGCTACTAATTTTCAATAACCACGTATGACCACAAAATACTTTGTAATAATGTGGTTGAAATGCGACTGGTTATATGCCTACATCATAGAAAATCTACATACATCATAGGAATCTGAATTACTAGTGATGGCACTGTGTGATTCTGGGAAAAATAAAAAAGCTAAAATGACAAACACAGGTCCATAACTGTAGACTGAGATTCTGGCACTCTCCTGGTGCTTACGGTATTACAACAAAGATGTAATTAGAGAATCGATTGGTCATTCATTTGAATGGAAATTTAACAAATTTAAGGGTGGTTCACACCAAAAAATAGATACAACTTCAGCCAATATTTGCTCACTATAGATTTTATATCTTTTAAATGTCTTTGTTATAGGTGAGTACATGATCCACTCCAAAAACATGAGAATGCCAACCAACTGTTCATCAACTGTTGTTAACTATCATTCACACCTGTGTCAAGGATTAGAATCTCATTTTCAGTTTTGAAATACCCAATTCTAACATTTAATCCAATCCAATTGCCGAAATCTGATTAGAAAAGTTTTGAAAAACTTGGTCCTGCTGATTACTATCATTCACACCTGTGTCTCACTTTAGATAACTGATGTCTGAAACCAGACATACGCTGAAGAAGGTGGACACCGACATGTTTGTGTTTGTTTATTCCCTTGCCGGCTGAAAAGCAAAAAACGAAAGAGGAAGTTCGGACCACCCTTCATTCATTGTAAATTAGTTTAACACACCAACATTATGAGTTTGAGCGCGATGGTACTTAAGAACATGCTTTTTTTCATACAAATACTTCACTCATGAGCTGCTTATTCAGCTAGTGTAGCATCATTGGTTATAAACTAAGTAAATAATATTTGTGTTAATCTGCATCCATCCCTT